ACTATAAACTTAAGTTAAACTTTCCTCAGAATGGAATAGTTTATTCTTGCCTACAGGTATACACATTAAATCACCTGTAACAGTGGCTGCATCCGTCCCTATTATTTTAGAACGTCTGTTTTTCTTATTTACGTAGGAAAAACGTGAACGTTTTCAGAAATAATATTTTCTTTATTTTCACAAATATCGTAATTTGGTTAAAAATAATCGTAGAAACGTATTAATATGCATTTTCAAGGTTTCGTTTAAGTTTTTATTTGATTTTATTCGGATAACATTGTTTTGGCCGATTAAAAATGATTGAACATTCAACGAGAGGTATTTTATGATAAAGAAAAGTTAACTCTAATATTAAACTAGTTTTTTTTTCATTTAGTTTCAAGTTAAAATTTTGATGGAAATCATACAAATCACGGTATTTCATAGCATATTTACCCGACCTTTGCTCAGAATTGTATTTCATTAACAATTGCTTGTCGTTCCGAACAGACATAAATTAAGTAACTATGTAAACTCACTTTCCAAATGTCCACCTACGTAAGTGACACACCCAGCAGCATTGTCAGTCATTTTTTTTTTTTTTTTTCATTGACATTCGATTGCATTTATTGCTCTATATAAATACCTAATTAGATTGTAAACGCTGCTGTTTTTTTCCTGTTCTAACCGACAACAGTGGAAGATCTGTGTGATCCGACCCCACTGCTGCTAATGTAATATTGAAAAAAAAATGCAATATGTAAAATGTGAGGATGCGTAAGCTAATCCTGCACTACAAACGCGGTTATTTAAAACAACAAAAGTTGTATTATTAATTTTGCGTTGTCGTTGTGTTGATAGTTACCTCGTGATGTTTGAATTTCCAATAAAAATAATTAATTTGAATTGTATTTTTGTAGTATCCGTCTGGGTTTTTAAATATCGGCTATTGATCCGCGTGCCGGCGTTACAAGTAAAAAAAACAACTTTTATTTTTTAAAAAAAAAATACCTTTTCCACTAATAAATTAATTAGTTAATTTCGTAACAAGTTTGATAACATATTTGAGCAATTTAAAAATCCCGTTTATAATAAAAATTGCGCGCCGTAGCCGATAAACTAGAATTTTGAATTTTGACATTGATGCCTTGAAAATTTCAAAGAAACGCGCCGAAAAATGTATATTTGTACACCTGTTTACATTTTTTGAATATTTAAATAATTTCGTTGTTTTAGCGTAAACACATGACATGAGAATTTTAATAACCACCTTGTTATTACTATAATTTATTAACAAAAAAAAAAAAAAAAACTAGGAATTTTGGTCTAAAAATGCTATAAAATAAAATTCCTTAGCCATTAGGTATACTCAAATAGATATCGTAACACTTTGAAATCAACCACTTTTGCCACAGCGCAATGTGTGGAGCGTTAACTTTTTTTGTGCGCTCATAAATTAGGCACCATCACTTTGAGCTACGGACTTCAAATCTTTGTCAATATTTTTCAAATAATTTGCCAATATTCGCTAACGCTTCAAATTCCCGGGAAAAAGGTTTTTTCTTGACGGACGTCTTTTTTATAAACGAATATTTTCATAATGACTTTTATAATATTATATAACTCGTAGAAAAGCGAGCGGCACGGAATTATTATTAGTTTAACAAAAGTTTGACTTGACGACGACACCGCGGATCGAGGCCTAACAGAATCGAGCTAATTTTAATTTTTTTTTTTTTTTTTTTATCTTAGCCTTTATTGAAGGGAGAGAGGAAACCGCACAGTTCCTTTAAACTCTCTTATAAAAGTGAAGAATACGGCGTCGGTCGTCACACCGTGTTTAACACAATAAACGTGACGGCGTCGTTGTCGGCGGTGGTGGTGGTGGTGCCGAACATACCTAATCCGTTTTGCACTCGACGAAACAATGGTTTTTGCGACCGGCTCGGTAAATAATCATCGCAACAAGACTTAAATATTTTTCGTCGTCAACGTTGCGAAATCAAACAACCGATGGCCACAATGAGATATAACGGGGCGATTTTTTTAGATTCTGAGCGAGAAAATGTAAACGAGTCTTACGACGATGCGTTTTTTTCTCTTTGAAAACCACTTTTCGTCTAGAAATCTCACTCCGCTTCTCCACATTAGGAACTATAGTTTCTGGTTGTCAATTTTGTCTAATGTATTTGAGAAGAGTTATTTTTTTCAGTGTATCTAAACATTTTCTTAATTACGAGAAAAAGTAAACTAAATATTTGAAATTGTTGAGTATAGTTTGGCATCACGTCTGTATCCACATTACGAATTTTAAAAGATTTGATAAAAACTCGAATATTTGACACACGGTTTTTTAATAGTTGCTTTATTGAAAATATAAAAATGTTGTAAATCTCCAGTAGGGATTTTTTTTTAAAAGGGTTAAAGTTCAAATTTATGATAATATTTTTAAAACGCTATTCATATTCTGTTTCTAGTAAATTAATTGACATTGATTTTATTTGCTCAATTCCTATACAATAGAATCATTATAATCCTTTTTAACCGTATTTTAAAAATGTTACCATTAGTATAAACACGATAAATAATATTTACTGTTGCTAAGTATAATAACAAATGTTAAGCGGTGGACTCTCTTGAGTAAACCCCTCTCCCTAAACTTAAATATAATTACCTAATGAGTACCACGACTGTAGTTCAAAGGCTATTTTGTGGTTTACGTGTTGCTTAGTATATTTCCAAGGACCCAAAACTTCATTAGATATCAGTTATTCATTTAGTGCATAACTAGAAATTATAAAAAACTGGAAAAAAAAATCAATCCCGCAATCGTGTTATAAATGTAATTAGATACCACCGAATCGTGCTGTTACCAACCCACCTGACCATTAAATTTTGTAGGTGTTGCTGGATCAAAAAACGCTAGACCTTTTATATAATAGAATAGCCGCCGTTGATAGACCGTTTTAATAGCGATTTGGCGCCACTGCAGGCCATATAATATGTTCTCCTCCGTTGTATTACACGTGTATTTTGTTCTCGATGCGTAAATTTCACGGCGTTCCGAGAGAACGATCCGTATACTTATAATATTTTGTCTTGCAAAAGTTCTATAAATATTTCCTACTATAATATAATATCTATGTGAATTTATATTGCGGTGGTAATACGGTAAATAAATAAACGTGTTATTATTTAACTTTGGACCGTTTGTTATCGCGCATAAACTATATACGCGGCACTATAACGCAAATTTATGTTAAACTTTCACCGGAGAAATGCATAAAAAGCCGACGCTACGGACAGCTATTGTTATGCGGGGGGCAATAATATAATAAAGGTATATGGGGTAAGGGTGGGTGTACACAAAGGCGAAAAACTCTCTTTTCTTCGCGATCTCCAGGGCGGCCATATTATTATTATAATAATTGACGGAATTCGAATGATGCGCTTCTCGGATAGAAGCGCATCGGTGGACGGTTTTTAACGGTCCCGCGTAAACGAAACGATTTTTTGAGACGGACTTGATACGAGCTACATCGATCGCTCGATCATCGTCTACCTGTTTCACATACACGAGATGATTTGTTTGACCGTAAAATCGGTTTGTGAACGTAACATAGCGTGTGTCATCATCAACTCGCCAACACTAAGTCGCGTTGACAAACAGTACGTCTTGTCGATGCATTTTTTACGAAGGTTGACTGTGTCCAAATGGACACACAATAAAGTACATTGGACATCAGGTGTATTGAATTTTGATTACTTAAAGACAAAATAAGACACAGATAAACTTACTTGCTGGTTTATTGAAAAACCAATGGTATGTGTGATTGGATTATAATATGTGTGGATATATATATATTCTTTAACAAAATCACTGGGGGGGGGAAGTAACTTAGAAAAGGTTTGTTAGATCTCCTCTTGGAGTTTTGTATAAGAGATTTGGGAAAAGGTAAGCAGTAGATATTCGTTGAGATATTCCATTTTTGTAACATACACCGTTTAATCTGGTCTATCAGACTATAATTACAGACAAGTTTAACGACAAAACGCTTTTAAGTATATGTACCGCACGATGACAGTTATCCTATTATTGCTTATTGTCATTTGAACAGAGCGATAGTAACTATAGAATTATTGTGAAAGCGACTATCACACTATCACACTATCATTTGTGCATTACAGTTGATAGTTATCACCGAGAGAATAATATTGACTCACCGTATGAACACACTATCGCGATATTTTACTGTCGCGACAGCATATTCGCAGACGTTTCCATCGATTTCACTATACTACTATATGTGTCCTATACCATTACACCATTGTACCGTAGTACGAACACTGTATCTGTGATAGTATTATTAATGTCGTGACATTCGCTACACTATAGCCATCGCCCGAAAGTACTATCGTGTTGTAGACCAGGTTTTACGCTATTTTACGAACTCAACGAACGCGTTGTCGGTTTTATGTCGGTGAATAAAATTAATGTTTAAAGGCCGTGTCAAGAGGGGCGTGTTGTAAAAACGTCCGTGTAATACAGTTACCTACCGCGGGAAAACGGACTGCAGACACTTGATTAGTAGCGGCCGTCCGGGTCGCTTCGACGTTGCTAATTAATATTAATCGTCGTCGTCTATGTCATCGCGAAATAATTGTACAAACTCGCGAGCTTGTCGAAATGTGTTTGAATTCGTTAAACGCCCATATACATACCGACGTTTTATCCGCATGATTATCGACGTGATAGCCGGGGCTGAATCTAGAAACCAGATTAAACGACCAGACGTGAATGGTTCTTGGGGCGCAGTATGATCTATATTATAGTGATCCGAAATCATGCATTACGCGTAAAGCACAATTCAATAAAACATTTCGATTAAAAATAAGTGTAAAGACTACACACGCATACTATTTGAAATGTGACAATCACAATATTTGTCGCTCAAATTGTTAAATGAGCGTAGACCTATAGTTTACATATACCACAAAATTAGTCGTATTGATACTATAAATTCAAATTTAAACAGTTGGCATTTTATTTCGCTGTGATAATAATAATATATAATTATTTTTTACGTTGTAATCACTGTCCAAGAAGGCGAAAACGAAACCGGTGTTTATTAAAAACATCAATTACTTGGTATTTATTTCAGCGAAAAAAAAAAACAAAAACAATAATCTTAAACAAAATTTAAGGTAAACAAACACAGACGTCATCGTCGTTAATACATAACAATCGGTTGTACTTACACCGTTTCGGACGACAGAACCGTAACATATAATAATAATAATAATAAAAATAATAATAAAATTCTAGTACACATACACAATAAAATAATATTTTATATAATATAATCGATTATCGTTATGTTTTTGGGTAGCATATAATATTATATAATACTTATACTTGTTATCAGGACGGAAACAGAGCTCGCGAATCGTCCGACGAGACATTTTCGCCGATTTCGCTGGTTGGTAAAAAATAATAATAAGTAATAATAATAAAAAACAACTGGTAAATCGGATTTAAAAAAAAAAATAAAAATATTTTTGGGCGCCAACCTGAAAATGACAAAGGTCGCGAGCCCTAGATCCTTATTTTTGTTATAAACGGGTGTAATATTATATTTATCGTATTATTATTGTAATAACAAGATCCGATCGTTTCGGCACGTAATAATAGTTTAATATTAGAGATATACTCGTTACAATAGTTTATTTAAAATGTAAAATGTACTTATAAAACAAAAAAAAATTATTCATGACATAATGTATATTTGAATAGGGTCTGCGTCTATTGCGTGATATGAGAACCACGTAAAGCTATCTAGAGAAAGTTGACGCAATCCGATTGGTCACGGCTGTAAGGGCGACCAATGAAAACGCACCTCCGGCAATGGTAACGAAACGGTCGGCTGAGTTTGCATGGTGTCCTCCTGGAAACGTTATAATATAGGTAGGTACACGCAAAGGGGAATTCACTTTTGGTGCCTTCAAATTTAGGCTATAGGCGAAAATGCATCCACTTTCCTTTTTCGGTCGGAATAAGATTATTTTAAATAGAGTAATAATTTTTTTCTTGGTGGGTTCATTTTTCGAAGTGTATCAATACGACTTTTTGAGCGTTTCCCAAAAATCAGTGTTTGGAAAGAATGGTTTTAGAATTCATTCATTAAATTGAATTTCATTTAGCTGAATTAATTTGTTTTATTTTTAAGAACTAGTGAATGCAAATTTATTAAATTTTCGTCGGAATATGGTGGCTGATGAAATACAAAATTTGGTTTCTGTTTTAATACTAGAATTATAAAGAAAATCGTTTCAAATAGTCTGTAACAAAATTATTTGACCAGCATCAATGTTTAGTGACTGTACAACGTAAATTTATAGAGTTAACCTAAGGCCATACTCTTTGCACTTGAAATGTATTGCAAATGTTAATGACTACGAACGCATTCATTACTTATGGAAATAAACAATGGTGAATAGGAAAACATTAATTTTTAATAGGAATTGTTCAAAAAAACTGTACAAAATCTCTTCTATATCATTATTTTGACCAAATACACGGCAGAAGTGGCCGAAAAGAGAAAAGTGTATCCTGTCCTAAATATTATATTTATTTACGTCACTTACCTGTACCGTGTACGGTGGGGCTGACCATCTGAGCCAGCCTCGGTGAATCGTCGGTTAGCTCGATGGATGAGTATTTTGTATACAACTGAAACTGATTGGATTCGCAGCGCACGGTCATCCGGCCGCTCGGGAAGAAAATTGGACGGGCCTCCAATTCCAACCGTGATTTACTGGTCTGTAGACCTTCCGTTTCGTTCAGGACCCACGACGTCGTCTTAACGTATTTCGTGGAGTTGTTCACCTGTAGACAAAACACGGAGTTTTCAATAATTTTGCCACAAATTATCGGATACTTAGCTGTTAGTACGACTCAACTAAGCCGAGGTTAGTTTAGGTCAAAAACACAAAACGAAAAATACATTAAACCCGTCCGCGGTATAATTCGCTAACATGACATAAAAATAACATACCGTGTTTCTTTATCGAAAAGCTAAAAATGGTTTATCGTTGTGAAGTTCCAAAAATAAAAAAAACAAATTTAGATTGAAATATTCTACAAATCAGAAACACTGCGCTATGATTGCGTACGCATGGAATGCGGCCAACCATAGAATTCGGGGATAAAAAAAACTATCGAAAACAAAATACCGTATACAAGTGTAGTATAATTTTATTAGTTAAGTTTTTTGCAATTTCGCGAAAAAAATATAATGTTAAGAAATATATTAAAATTATTTAGAAAACAACTTCTCCAATAAAGGAAAAATCCGAAAGCGCAGTTCAAAAGTTTTTGGGAAACGCGCATTTGGACATAATTTACTATGTGTGGAAAACTTTTACGAAAAGGCCTACGACTCTTGTACGAGGAAGCGGACACTGCGGGAGAATAACTTAAACTGCTTCAGACGAAGAGTATCGGTTGAAGGTATACTGCACTATAATATTATGTTGTGGAACGTCGAGTAATTTATAGTGAGTATTGTGTTATTATTATTATTATTATTGCCAAAGAGATATTCGTTGGGTATAATAAAACTAGAGAACGAGGCAATAATTGTTAATTATCATCGGCGTAAAGAATCAGGGATGTAAAAGTAGTATACCGATGAAATCAACGTTAGATGATGTCTATTGGAAAATAATGGAACAACACGCCAAGCAAATCTCGAATAAATCCGTAGAAGTACCGGACGGAAATGAAAAATTTTGTTTAACTTGGAAAAATGCTCGTATTAGTTTGCATAAAATAGCAACGGAAGTACGTAAGCATGTCATATTAATTTAAGCGACGAAAAAATCCGGAAACCAATAACAGTATAATTATACCCGATCAAATAAACATTATTATTGTTACTTTACGTTACATTAGTTAATTTACTTTACGACAATACGACACGTAAAGGATTTATACACTTGTTATACAACTGGATTTTGTGTTTGATTTTCGAATTATTCGGAAACATCGTTAAAACTTCAAGTATGTATCCACTCACGCGAATCGATATAAAATATTATTATTTTATGGTATCACGACATTCCGATATTATAATTACGTTTGGAAATAATATTATTAACGGAGTTTTCACTTTGAACATAATTTCAAGTTGGAATAAGTTTTCGAAATATTATTTAACGAAAATTGCACCAATTGGGGATGCGTATAATATTGATAAACTAACTTATTACAGTACTAATATAGTTACGAAAATCAATAAATCAATAAACATTAAGATGTTTTAGATTTGAGTAGCGAAAACAAATTACAATCGTATTAATATATTTTGTTTTACAATACGACCGGGTTTTTTTTCTTGTTGAACGCGATTTTTTTTTTAGTTTTCGGTTAGAGCGAACATAATACAATCTTACAATTTTTGTATGTATATACAGAGTGTCAATCACACATTGTGCAATGTTAATACTGTTCGTCAGCAATAGGAAACTGTAATAATAAATAGTGTCTAGGTAGTATTTAGGAAGTAGGGTAAATTGTTAATATTGCACGGTTTAAAGGAGTACTAGTAAGAGAGAATAAAGAAAAGAGTCCGTGCGGCGACGCCGCCGGACTACTTTGTTTAGATTTAATATAGTTCATTCAATGACTTTTGTATTTATTTTTATATTTTGTGTCGTATACGTTATAGTGTATACTATCGTTTTGCTTTTGAGTAGCCACAATACTTCTTCTTTTATTCCGAGTCCGATCTGTAATCGATTAATTTATGGTCGCTGAGAATAAAATCTAAATAATTAAATAGTCCAATCGACTCCAAACTGTACCAAACTGAAACCGGTTAGTTCGTGGTGTTTCGGTTACTCCATTTTATGTTTGAGCGATATCCTTGTAAAAGGGATGTACGACACAATGGTAATAGTAAACAATAGAAAATGTAAGTTCATCAGAAACAAACTATGTACTACCAGTTTTAATATTAGACCGAATTGACTTATCATCAAACTTAAAGTTAAGGACATGATCTGTGCAACGTTGGCGATATTTTTACTTTTATTTTCAAACGAGACACGATTATTTTTAAAGTGTAATATATTTTACAAAATCTCTCTTACAAATTAAAATATCAAACAAATTGTTACGGTAGTTGCACAGTCAATGCTCATATCTTTAAAAATTGGCCAATTTGATTTGATATTAAAACTAATAGCGCAATGATATCTCTGCTGAACGCAAAATTTGCTGTTGTACGTTTGACAACTGCATGCGCGGATATGACGCTCTCATAAATATTTCGGAGAAACGGAAATTTAACACGGTTTTAAAGGTGGAATTGTTCTTGGACGGGGTTTATTCTCAAAATTCTCTAACGGTTCAATAAATTGTACGATAATAGCAAACAAATTGCATTGGTTAGATTAGGTTTAAATAACGGATACATCAATTTTATATACATGCTTTTAAAGCCAACTTACAAAATATTTATGCGATTATTTATATATTATAAAATGTTAAAAGTTAAAAATACATTTTTTATTATAGACGACTGCAAATATTTACTATTATTTTTCATAACCAAATTGTTTAAGCTTAATTTAAAAATACTTTCCATTCCCTCCCCCCCAATTTCTTATGCCTATATCAAACGAGTTTTACAGTTTAAAATATTTTGCCAAGAGAAGATTAATAAATTTCATATCCATTTTTAGACGATTCTCTTTCGAACCACAACCGCGGTTTGGATGCTAAAATTGTATAATTCACTGTCCGACATTGGTGTTATGAATATAAAAATTATTCGGAAATAAATATATTGAAAAAAAGTGAGGGGGTCAATTACTATATTTCTATACTTGGAAAATTAAAAATCGACAATAGAATAATGTGTTTATGGCGTGTACAGAATATTATTGATGACATTTAGAAAACAATATCGTAACAGCAATTCCACCGCAATGACTGAACAAAAACAAACCAAAATCGATTTCACACCACGCTCAATAACAATTGCCGGAAAAAACAAAACCCATTCTGTACATTTTTATGGACATCCCTTAGTATATTTCACTTTAAAATACCTATTTATGCACACTGCCGTACATATGTGTTTTGTGCAAATAGCAATAATAATAATAATATAATCGCATTAAGTTCAAGTGCATGTTATTCGATTTGCAGTTCTTCTATTAACTATACACCTCAGTACAGCTTTATACGTACACCTACAGAGTTTTTTCAATATAAACGAAATCCACGCACGTTACGTTCGCTAAATTTTTACCTAGTTAAAATAATATACACGAGTTCGGAAAGTTTTTACAAGCGATAAAGTTACTATGTATGCAGTCGGCGTAAGCACACGTACGTAGGTACGTATACAATCTTGCAATCTTCTTTATCAGTGATAATATTATACGTACAAATTGAGTTTATACAACAAAAACACGTTATATGTGCTTATAGTAAAATTATTATCACATTATAATAAGTCCGTTATAATAAAACAATTAGTTGGCGTAAAACGCTCTCTGGAAAATAATTATGCGCATTAGCGATTCGTTGACATCGTAAAAAAAAAAAAATAATAATAAACGCCCTCGTATCCATATATTCTATACAGTGTGTTCACGTTTCCAGGTAACTCTGAATATTTTGGCTGGACGACCTTGGGTTTCAATTACTTATCCTTTCGGCGTGCGTGTATGCACATTAAAAATTACTTTTTTTGAATAGCAAAACGTGTTCTCGACATTAAATTCGAATAGTCCAATTTGATTCAAGGAACTTTGATTAATACAATTTTTTTTTACCTCAAAAATTATCTGAGGTTATACCTCTGATAATATAATATATTTTTTTTTTTATCGATTTTTCAAAAAAAAAAAATAAAACTTATGTTATTACATGAATGTGTTATTTGCTGACCATTTGTACAAATAATTTTTGTCCTCACGAAACAGAAGTTGAATTTCTGCTTTTTAAAGTCAGTATTTAAATTTATTTAAACATTGACACAAATTAATTATCTTCAACCAACATTTGATGACTGTATCTCAAGTAATTTTTGAGATAAAAAAAATTAATCGATCAGTTACTTGAAAAAAAATATTAATATTTGAAACTATTGTCAAATAAAGGTGTTGGTATTCAAAAAAAAAAAAATTTATATTGGGCATCAAAGAGGTTAAAAATTTGAAATTTATCTTCAAATGTGTATTTTGCGACCACCTATTATTTTTCCGGAAAAAATACTTCAAACGGTCGTCCGGACAAAATATTCAGTGGTTCCCGGATACGCGAACACACTGTATAGCTGTACTAATAGTATAAGACTTACTACGTGTATGTATACGGTAATAAAAATCTAAACGAGTTTTTCACACAGAAATATTATAATATTTAAAACCCCTATTATATTGTTATTATTATTCGGGAATATTTTTATGTGCCTTCTAAAAAAAAAAAAAAACAAATACTATTATGTTCCTATACATACATACGCGCGGAGGTTATGGGTAATTTATTCCGAAATGTTTTACAATGGTTTTCGGGTAGTCGAGCATTGAACAAGCTTTTTCTTTTTTTGGTGTAATGACTTTTTTCAATTGTGACCCACTATAACTATATATATATATATATATATATATATATATATATGTATAATACTCGTGCACACACCCCCAGAACGCCCGGTTAAATATCCCGAAGGCAGTTAAAAAAATAAAATAATAATAATAATAACAAAAAAATGTGTATGATTCTTTCATAAGAAAAACACGCATTTATATTAATAAAGTGTACTGTAAGTATAGATTACCACTATATAGTAAAGTCATTGTTGAGGAGTCAATTGTTTGGAACTCGGCTGTCTTTTAATGTATCGCGGCAAAGCACACTATTATTATTATTATTATTATTATTATTATTTACGCGGTCGTGTCGATGACAAGGTATGCGGATAAATGGCTAGTGGGTGGGCGTGATGACGGTGTACGAGGTAGTGGGTACCGTATAATATTATTATAACAATAGTTGTAAAATATTACCCGACTATTCCGGCGGTCGTGACGGTTGATGTATAGTGACGATAACCTGCACGATCCGTGGAAAATCCGTTTTTAAGGAATTCCCGACCCCCCGACGATCCTGCAGGCTATGCAACTGGAATCACCGAATTTATATAGGGGCTTGAAGTGTATAGGCGATTTGAATTTTCGAAAAACAAAAACAATATATGGATACAAAATCATTTACCGACTACAAATCGTGTAACCCTATACATAATAAGAAAAACATTCCTAAAGATTATCGTGCGGACCCTGCAGGGGCGTAGCCAGCGACGATAAAAGGGAAATATGACCACTCTGGTAACAGTTGTTTTTTTTTTTTTTCAAATAGTTTTATTAAAGTAATTTCATTGTTATGTTATTTTCGTGTGCATGGTGTATATGGTGCAGGTACATGTTTTCTGTCTGTGTTAACTCTTCTATCTTTCTATCTAAATCTTGCGCCAATCAAAAACCGACAAGACAGATTTTTTTTTTGTTTATAGCGAATTTCGTCAAATGAGTGTATTGGGATGGTCACTTATTGATTTGCTTTGTAGATAACACCTTCTTGATCGAGAGTAAAGCATGTCAAAAAACGACGTGTGTTTATCTAGTCTCCTCTACGGTTTCAAAATTGTAATTTTTTTTCACCCCGATATTTAGTATATAATTATTATGCGTTTGTGTGCCCAGTCTCGGAATTTGCATGACATTTTTTATTGTAGTAAATCGGCTTTTTATATGGGGGAGAAAGAGAGATGTCCTCTAGTGCCCCCACCTCTATATGTAAATATACGTACAATTTAAAACTAAATGACGCAAATAATTAGGATGCCCAGTTCCAAAATTCCTACTGCCCTCCTTCCTGGTTAAAATACTATTTATCACGTGTACATAAAATTTAAATCCTGAATTAGGTAGGTAAATAATAATTTAAATGGACCTTTTATTTTATCTACTGGAATAGTTTTAATAAATATTTGACTATCTCAATCAATAAAATGTTATTTGTACGATTCTCGATATCCCAACACTTAGGTCACCAACCTATTATGTTTTATTTCAACAATAAAATTAATCTCTTGTCCCATATTCTATGCTAGTTGTTTGATTATATTATTCAGGTATCGTTGAATCGCTAGATTCTCGGTTCACGATAAAATTGTAAGTTATAAAGCCTCTCGTGTTCAGTAATATTAGATTCCGTGACGAACTGTATATGTATAGGTACATTTAAATTAAAATTATAAGGTCGTGTAAAGTATTTAAATACTTGTATAACATTTATAAAACGTTTTGATTAATTTTTGAATTAAATATTTGAAAAATTTTTTTTTTTTTCAAATTTCACTAATCAAATTTTGATATTACAAATAGTTATATCTCGCTTAAAAATATAAATATCGGAAAAACATCAACGCTGGAGCACATATAATCTTCTAACCTTTAAGTTTTGTAATGAGGCAATTTGCTTTAATAGTAAAACTAACGGCACAAAACTTGTTCTACCTAAGGCAAATTTGCTATGTCACGCGTTTATAAGACGAAAACAGTAAATGCAGGTGTGGCGTCCTTCTCTTAAGACCAAAAGATAAGAAGGCGTAAACATTTCACAGTTATAAATCGCTGTAATTTGATATTGTGGAAAATCGTCTAAAGGTCGGGTGAAAGATTTGTACAAAATGTACGCTGTTATTGTGAATGCAAACTTTAAAGGGGGAATGTTTTCATTGAGTCTGTAGATCTTATTCTTTACATCCGATACTATATTGATTGAACGCCCTTACCTTTTTGTTGTTTATGAACCACGTGAGATTGGTGGCTGGAGACGCCGAGTACGATGTGCAGTTAATCCTGACAGGTTCGTCTTTGCTGTACTTGAGCTTCCCGGCGAACATTAGCGGTTGTGATGGTGGTTCTTCTGCGGGGACACGTAAGAAAATCATCAACATGGTCAAACACAGTCAATTACCTACGGTTGGCCGTAAAATTATACCACACTTACCGATTATGGTAATGAACGACTCTTTGATTTGTGTGTGAAATAGCGGACCGTCTGCGGACACTTCGCATTTGTAGTGGCCGGACATGTCGCGCGGCAGGTTTGTCAACAAGACCTGGTGATCGTCCGACTCGGAAATCTATTAATATCGAAATACCACGCAACGGAATAATAATAAAATATTTTATTCATATAAAAAAAAAAAAAAAAAAAAAAAAAAAAAAATAAAACGATTAATGATGACGCGGAGGACGCCGATGGAAATAACCGCGACGCTGTGGATGCGCGGGTGTGGACGGGATCGGACCCCGAGTCCCGACCAATAGGTGTACCGACGGCGGATTAGCGGTGGTGCACGAAAATTATTTACAGAAGCGGAATTAACGGAGGGATAAGGTCCGTGACGAGTATCCCGGATAAGTCGGTCAAAGGAATATTAATGAGAGGGTCGCAGCCTCGTGTCTGTGCCTGCGATATGTCCGAATGAGCCACGGAAAACCCTACGATTTTGTACGAAATTATTATTATTATTATAATATATTCTTATGTATAGAGCACAGCGTCTGGGGATTCGACTTGTCGTTTGTATGTTATATTACGTATAATAACGACAGAGATGATAATACATATTTTTATATATATACGTATTTTTTATTTTTTTTTTTTTTTTTTAATTTCCCCGGTGTTTATAATCACATTCAGCGTGTACGTCCGAAAACACGTTGAACTAAATTCGAAAACTTTATATTTATATAATATACTCGTGTATATATATATTTATACAATATACGAGCGACGACCGAGTTTTTTGTACGAGTCGCGTCGAAAGATATACCGATTTAACCGTCGTCGGCACAATCATAACCGAATAAGGTTTGCGTATATATTATTATTATTGTTATTATAAAATATAATCTCCTCGGGGGACACGTATATATACACGCGAGATTGATAAACTTTTCCGCGTAATTCCGTGTCGCGATAGTGTAGAATATTATCCGTCCGGAGAACAAAAGTTTTTGTCCCGCCGCCCGATAATAATTATGATTATTTACTTTTTAAAACAAAAAAAAAAAAAAAAAAAAACGTCGACTCGCCGACTGGCAGTCTAACGTACGATTTTATCCCGTGCAATTTTTTTATAGACACGACACGCGGATGTGTGCGCGGACAGACGATTCGACGATTAATAGAACGTCGGATTATTGTATGGTTTTGAGGATTGGGTCTTTTGTTTTTGTTTGTTTTTTTTTTTTTTTTTTAACGGCCCGAAAACAAGAGTTCGGAGAAAACTTTTTTCTCATTACGTTCGCTGGGTTTTCCGCCCGTTTCACAGAGTTTACAGCGGTCCGCGGGGCCCGTTCAAATTTAATGTTACAGCTTTAAGAACGAGAGATTGTATAGAATGGGTACTCTTAGGTACCGATCTCGAAACGTGTACTTTGGAAACATTATAATATAGCGATTCAATACTTACGTCGACCGTTGTGGTGCCCGACAGCGGGAAAACCCTTGTCGGTGGCGACTCCTTTGGTACGAACCTGTAAAACTCCTGATCGCCAAAATACCATTTTATCGAGTATAACGGCACACCGTCCAGGTCGTAGTCGCACTTCAGCCGCAACGACTCGCCCGCCCTAATGGCTTCGGGAGTATGAATCTGAACGCCTTTCAGGCCGAATACGTCTGAAAACAAGACAAGCGAATTGAGATCATGTCGAAAATATGACGCGGACGGGGTCTCCGAACGTGAACCTCGAAACTCGATTAACGAATCCCCACATATTGCGTTTAATATTATAAATAAGTGGCTGCAAAAAAATGGAACCAAACAAATACACTTGGTGTATTTAGATTGTATCTTTAGAAACATAATATTAGGACTTCGATACCAGATACCTGTATGTATATCTTAAATATAATATTGTGGAATTGTTTGCAGACCTTTTTAATCGTTCTAAACGCATAGGAAATGCTAATCTGGTTGTACAATACTTTTTGAGTAAATATTTTTCCAAGTAATTAGGTAAATATGGTTCCGTAGAAATATTTTCCCTCAAATCTATAGATATAAAAAAAATACAAATTCTCATAAATAACTAAATATTTTATAACAACATAACTTCATACTATAATACGGCACTTATCATCGGAAGGGCCTAGCAAAATACAAAATGTCACCTCCTTTGACTTCAATCAGGATGAGAGGCTGGGAGGTCTTTAAAACTTAAAAATCATCCTCTTCCTGCAACAACGCTGTAAAATTCATACTGAAATTTGACCTTAAACGTATCAATTCAATCCTACTACACGACTCTAATCCCGAGTTTGAGCTCATTTACTTCACACGACGGACGAGATAAACAAGATAGACACAATACAGTACGATATAGTCTCTATGTATTTCCAGGAAAATTTCGACAAAAACGTTTTTTCACTTAGCAATATTCTGAAACGTTCTCTCGGTCTAGCAAAGGATGAAATGACGCCACTGCGATAATAAAGATTGCCTACTTATTTATATATTATACTCTGGGTCAAAACGCGATCCCTTTCGATCGATCCAGAGGCCACGGAAGCGAAGTATTGTTCCGCGCGTGTCCGTCGTAAATATTATAAAATATTAATAATATAACTGCAATCTTTATGGCGTGGTGTGGTAAGGTGACGAAATGAAAAAAAACAAAAAAATAAAAAAAAAAAAAAAAATGAAACGAAATAATCATAAATAAAAATAACGACTGCGACCGTCGAAAATTTACGTCTCGCGGAAAATATAGCGGATGGTCGAGGGTTCCATTATATTATTATTATGTTCCACGTCGTCCCGATGTGTATAAATACGGTTCACCATAACCGTACAACAACGATAAAATAATATATATGTTAGTGGTATCAAAACTATGAAATATTATTCGATGCGTTCGCGAGCCCTGTATTGTATAATGTACAACTGTGCAAATGGCGCGCGTTTGCCGATTGTTTGAACTGTGCGTGGCGATTACAGTAGTATTAACATTAGGTACGTATCCTTCGAGTTGTAATAATTAATCGTTTAATTTTTCGAGAAACGAATCAAGCACTTAACAGTTTCTTAACCGAGACGGTTTGTTTTGAGTACAAGTACAATATTATATGCCTAACTATTGCAGTTCGCCCATAGGCGCCACGTTTTAAAAAATTGTAACAGACGCCCTACGTGTCATGAACTGTCCAATTCCATTTCTATCGACGAGAAAAAAAAATATAGTATGTTTCAAAAGCTACGACATGCGCATGTGTATCACTATGACATAAGCATCACTTAAGGGTAGTAGATATTTATTTTGATATCATGTTTGTTTTACAGTGATATTTATTTATGTTTTTTTTTTTTTCTGTAAACGACATTTCCTACTAGAAATATTTTACCGATTTTCATGAGTAGTACCTTTTGCTGAAAGGAAATTTGACTGGGGTAGTACTTTAAGAGAGTCATTTTTTGATTTTCCCAGGATTTTTCATAATAAATTGGAAAAACCTGTTAAAATCGTAGGCAAAACAAGAAAATTTACGAAATTTATTATTTTCAAATCGTAAATATTACGGTCTTTCAAAACATATATAACCGAATTCCATTCAGCATCATTTTCCGTTAGTAATGCTTAACCGTATACAGATATACATTCATTTTATCCTCTACTATCCTAACTTCACACATACAACAGTGGCACACCCATCGTGTGAAGTATATCTGTTATTTTTTTTTTTATTTTTCACTAAGTAATTATGTACAAACAAATTATTATCATCTGCAATGATTGTGTTATCTACAGCCATAGAATAGACTACAACCTCTGAAGTTACTGATAGCGTCGATATTTACAAACATTGCAGTTTTCTTATTAGTTTACGATCAGTTGTATTGAATTTTTTCAAAAGTACAAAATTAAATGTTTAGTTAATTTATATTATTTCCATATTCTCAATGACCTCATATAAGTATATAATATTTAAGAGGTACCCATCCTCGTATATCAGCTCGCCTCGTTTTTATAAGGATATTCTATTTAATTAATACCGACTGAATTTATAGATTCTGAACGAAGAATGATTTTGTTTGGTATATGTGAACAACAACTTTTCTTCGAAGAGGGCATTTTTTACGGGTTTCCTGGATCGATTCCCATTAATATAACGGAGCAAAATTGAAATACAAATTTGTCATTTTCGATCGAAATTTTTTGTTTCGAATTCGGTCTACTAGGATCCCGATTTTTTTTAGCCCTTTTCACATCATCCTACGAGAACTGTGTGTATCCCGTTTGCCTATCTCCCTTCCCTCGATATTATAATGTGCAGTAATTTCATTATTATTATTACTATAGTATAATATTGGCATTTAAACTCTACCGCGTTATTATAATATAATAATGGACGATAAAAAAAAAAAAAAAAAGAAGGAAAAATGTAAATCGGGAAAATGTCAGGTCGACAATAATAACGTATATGATACACGTGGATAGGTAATTGAAACGGAAACCACGGGCGGTTTTATATTAATCGCCTTTTAAAACCACGTGTTTGTAAAACATGACAAATTGTCGCTTGTTAATGAAAATAATAATGTTCATATATTATTGTTCTAAAACGCGTTGTGTTGCTCTCTATTACTCTCCCCGTACGAGTGGTTACCTTCGCGAGTTTATTAATTAAATATTGTTACAGTAATTGGGATTTTGACAGTGATTAACATCGGGTAATAATAATTTACCGACTATAATAACCGGGGGGATTTTATTATAATCGTAATTTCGCGGCAAACAATGCGATACCTATAAATTATAATATCGTTGCTCGATAATAATAACGCGGTCGGGGGAATTTGTCGCGTATCCGCAAAAGGGCAAACGAGTTGAGGGAATTCATTCGCCTAATCCGGCCGTGTATACGGTTCCGGAAAAAATAAAAAAAAAAAAATGTAATAATAATAACCACACTCGGCGTATTCCGAAACGAATGACACTGCAATAATACGTTATTATTATTATTTTTTTTTTTATAAAAGTCGCGGTCACCGGAGATTTAAAAAAAAAACTAAATATTTATAATATTTTGAACTGTTTTTTTTTTTTTTTTTATATATAGAATTTACAAACTACGTTTTAAACGTGTTGAAAACATTGCTTTTTTGTGTTTAAAACGTTTTAAATAAATTCGAATTCAATTGACAATCATAATAGGTATTATCAATAATTATACAAAATTTGTAATTACCTATATTAAATACTACTTACGATAATCACGACAGAACTTTTTTATTCCTTTAATTCCGGTCGTTTATTTAATTATATATTTGTTTTTCAGAAACAAACAACAGTCACGCAAAAATAGTTGCACAGACTACAAATAACATCTTCATTGCAACAAGGACTTGAGGTAACTTTTTTACATGATTTAATGTAGCGCGTATATTAAACACACTAAAATCTACAGCATAAACTATAAGGTATTATCAAGAAAAAACAAATGTAGTATTTAAATTATTAATGAAAATGTTTAAACCATGACTGTTCGTTTAAAACACGGATCGAACTGATAAAAGTTGTGTTTAGTTTCAATATGAATTTCACCATGTTGTTGTGGCAGATGAGAAATTTTTTTTCGCTTCAGACATCACTACAGACCTTCTAAATAAATCCAGATGAAGGACATTTTGTAAAAGCCTGGCGTCAGTATCAAATACGCGCTCCCGTACTATCACTTCACGCTAAAACGTTTCACAATTCTGTCGGAATTGGTATCGTATAGTTTAGTAACATTATTGAACGAGAGAAAACTCGATTTTAGGGACGGAGATCCGTTGCTCAGAAGCGGTTATTTTATTATTATTATTTTTTTTTTTTTTTGAAAAAAGTGATTGTTACGAGTTGCTGTAGGGAGATTTAAATGGGAAAACCGATGATTTTTTTTTTTTTTATGGACAATACGAATCGCACAACGACGCCGTGTGTGTTTTAATTAATCGATTATTACGGCGGTTACCAACACGCAACTCTGCAGGTATTCGAAACGAGGGTAGAAATACAAATCGGCATTATTAATAATATTTCGGCTACAAATATTTTCATTAAACCGTTATTATACAATTTATTATTTACCTACACGACTACATAACAGTTATATTGCGGACACTGCATGTACACGACAGGTACAAATTGGTGTTGTCGTATAATCGGTGTACACCGCAGCGCACGGGTTTAACAGGACGCGAAAATACACGACGAGAAAAAATAAAAAATTTAACGTAATATACGCAATAAAAAGTCCATCTAGCGCTCATGATTTTTTACCGTGACAAATTTCATTGCAATTACAAATAAACAAAAAAAAAAAAAAAGTACATTCTATATAATCTGCGCGATATGATATGCATACCGTCATACTGACACCCAACCGGATTTAAATAACCGACATGCCTAGTCGATAGTATTACAATACTCGTATGGATTAGGATAACATCATTGCACTATTATTGCCGCGTAATAATAATTATTTATGTTTCGTTTATAATTTATAAACGTTGTTATCTCTGTAGGTTCAATATGATTTTCGTTTGTAATTTTTCATCGTCACGACAACCGCTTTGTTTGGCGAGTTGATAATCGATCGCCGCCGGCTGGGAGATCGTCGTTATGTTCGACAGATCTAGGCGAATGTCCGTCAATTTGTGTATTCGGTTGAAGAGCGGGGTTAACTAATATTAGAAGAAAAATTGCATACAGTTGGTAGGTATTTTTAGGAGGTCATTTTTCGATTTTCTATGTAGTTCTTATAATAATTGGGAAAAAACGTAGGAAAAACGGGAAAATTTACAAAGAAAAAAAAAATTGCTTTTATTATTTGTTTTAGTTAAGTTAAAAATGTTATTGAAGACATAAAATTATGAGCCATTTTTGAGCTATGAATATATATTTTAATTTTGCGAGTTTTTTATACAATTTTTTTCAGTAGGTACTCAGTGGGCGAACCAGTGGGTTAAACCAAACAGAAATATATTTGAAAATTTAACAGAAAGTTCATAAAAAATTGTTGTACTTAGCGATTAACAAGAAAAAAATCGAGTTTAATGTAACATTTTAATTATTTTTTTTTATTATAATTTTAATATAAAATTTTGACGAAATTACGGCCTTTTAAAGCATGTATAATTGAAGACCGAACTCCGCTCAGCATTGTTTTTCATTAGCAATGATTAATCGTCGCAGATATTATAAGCATTAAATTCCCCTTTATATCCTACCTTCCCAACACCCCACCTGCATCAGTGACGCACCCGTCGTGCGAAATATGTCCTTTTTTCTTTTTCTTTTTTTGGTTATGAGGTAAAGTTTTAAAAAAAAAAAAAAAACTCAAACTCAAACTTTTGTCGCACAGACGAGGTTAGGTGAAGGTATGGGGAAGCGAAAGACCACTCGGCCGTCAAGATGGTTGCAGTGGGACGTCATGATGGTTTCGCGGAACGCATTGACAAAAACAGTGACGACCGGGACAGCGACGATGGGACACATAATCCGACGACGGTAACGGAGGCCATTTCGCCATCGGCGAAACTGATGAAAACCGAGAAGCCCGCGGAATTCGTGGTAGCCGGGCCGAGACCGCTCCGCCCGTCGTCGTTCGCACATAATCTACTCGTATAACTGCAAACTAATATAGAAACCGTATATTGCCGTAAATCTGTTCGGGTTTTCTACGTTATTTCTGTCAATTATTTATACAAGTACAAAAAAATCAAAAACGTCCTTCTCACCAACCGCATCCAAGTTTCTGCAGAAACGTTTCCATTGCATTCGTTGCGTTCGAAAATCTTACTTCGATTCCGGTAGAAAAACCGTTTACTGAAAGAAAAAAGAAAAACGCACGCAACCGTCGTCATAACATAGTAAAACGAATGCATTTCACCGGTGAACGCTTACTGCAATCTATAAACACGAAAACGACATGAAACATGTGATTTCTTGGTTTTTACGGATTTCGTCGAAATTTCCGGACCGCGCGACTTTACGCTCGATTGTCGGTATATCGAGTGAAGCGCTGTCGGTGTTAATTTTTTTCTTTGTCGTATTCGCGTAAATCGAAAAAAAAAAAAACTACAAAAAGTAAACTAGGAAAAAAAAAAAATTGAATTTACTCGTGTTCCGGCGGAAGCGACATTGCTATACAACATCGGGATATCTAATACCTATATTGGATTATTATCGCATAAGGACATTATTGAACGGCACGAAAATAAAAATAAATTTATTAGGTACCTATAAAATACTGAAAAATCGCTCAACCGTACGATAAAAGGCAAACGAGTTAGAATCTTTTAATGCTCAGATAATAATATATTACTCGAGTACAATAGTGCAGTATAATATTATTACAAAATGTAAGTGTATATGTGTATACACTCGCATTGCAAGCGAGTGCATCGTACAATATATTTATATATATATGCAAACTTAATTCTTATACACACACACACACACACACACACACACACACGCGCGCGCGCGCATACGTATATAATAATACGCCGAAAACTTTAAGCGAGAAATCCGGTCCGCCCGCCCGTTGCCGCCGCCGCCGCCGCCGTTAAAACGTTTGTTTTTATCCACACGAGTATAAGAAAATACGATTAAATTGCGAAAATATTCAAAAGATACCGCCGAACCGACCGCATGCCTCGGGTTGAAACTCCACGTAATATAGAAGGATTACGTTCGCTCCAGTGTATCGCGAGAACGAAACCTAACGAAAATGACCGGGCGGCGGGTCGATATTATAATACTCGTTGCAGGGTTCGCAGAATTATATTATAATTACACATAGAGCTCGGATTTACGACTATCGGATAAACGAATAAATTAAAAATACCGACAATTTTTACTGACCGCAAAAACGTACTCTTAAAAATTAAAACCTTTCGCCCCCAAAAAGAGCCAACAAAAAACAGCGAAAATAATGCAAGATTAAAACTAGTACTATGTAATTGATATATACATTATTAAAAAAGCCAAATAAATTATTAAAAAAAAAAAGGACGGACATACTTCCGCACGTGGGTGCAGCCACTGTTGTAAGTGGTAAGTTGGGAAGGTAGGATGTAGACGGAAATTCAGTTTGTATCTGTAAGCAACGATAAACCACTGATAATGAAAAAACGATTCTGAGCGGAGTTCAATTGATAGTGTTGCTTTAACAGTATATATGTTAATCATAATATTATGGTAAAATAATTACAATGGTGTGCGTTTTCATGACGACAATGATTCATTAGAAAAAATTAAAAATAATAGAAACCTAATAATAACAAAAATAAATAATAACGGTTGCCAATGATAACCTTATTTTTTATCTTTCAATCTTTTTCAACCTAGAGAACCAGACTTTCCTCATTATCTCGAATATTAATAAAAATTTCAAAAAACAACCTCTTTAAAATACTACCCAGAGAGTATTTTTTTTTCAGAAAATGTGCTATCCTTGATAGTTTCCAAACTCTCTGGTAGAAAAAGTGTTGACATAAAAAAAAAAATAATAAATAAACATCATTGTATATCCAATACATTCCTTGCTCCGTTTAGAATTTAAAAGAAAAATGCATCTAGATTGGCGTGCCACTATTTCAAGTGGACATTTTGACAGTTGAATATTACCGGTAATTTAATTTACATGTGTACGCAATGATAAACCATTATTAACGAAAAACGATCGTGAGCAGAGTACTATTAGTCATATTTTTCACTCTTTTTGCTAAGGTAGCATAGAAATCGACAAAAATTATACGCGAAATTGCCAGATTATCCGATTTGTTAAGAAAACTACAAAAAATTACGTCTTTAATGTATCAACTAGATCCACAATTTTACACGAATGGACCCGTTAAGTTTTCGATTAGAGTAAGATTTCTTTTAGAAATATTATTCACACACACAAAAAATAAATAACACACCGCGGTAAAACCTATACATTCCCCATCGTATCGCTCCATTCTAAAAATTGCGTCATTTCAATGTGTTACGTTTAACCGAACTTCATTCGGAATCGTTTTTCGTTTCTATTGGTTTATCGTTACACACAGATTTAAATTAAATTATTCTATATTATATATCTTATTCTCTCGACTTTTTAATCATAGATGTCTATACATTAGTACACGGAATAAAATCTGTGGAATTTTTAATTTTACGCGGTGAAACGCGTATTTTGAGACAATAGATGGGATTGTCTGTACCTATATCGAATATAATAGGTAGTAAATATGAAAAGTTAATACGATTTGTAAAGCCTAAACGAACTTCATAAAAAATATAACGGCCAAATCGAGAGCACTTTCTTGTATCTAATATAAGTCTAGTACAAAAAAATAAAAGTATGCGTTTAAAAAACTTTACAGACACGCCTACGTAGTATTGATTTATTAAGCACACAACGAAATTAAACTTTCAAAAACCCTATAATCAAAGACTACTGTATTTGACAAAACGAGTTTACCTAAATAATCAAGTTTTTAATTTCATTACCATAAATCATTTAAACAACGCGCCGCGCCGTGTATTCTGCAGAGAGTCCTGAAGCAGTACTCTCGGTATAATAATGAGGCGGGCAAGTGTTTATAACGCGTAATATTTATAACACTATAAACAACGAATAAAATGCGTAAACTTATACTCACATATATTCTAAATAATAATTATGAATAAAATGATTCGTTGGCGGTATTATCATAGAGAATAATTATATTTAAAACTGATTTGTTCGAAATAGACAGGTGTTCATAATGGATAGTATTAATTTTATCGTTTACGCAAAATAAAACTGCCGTAGCGTGGGTCGTATTAGGGGAGGCCGGGGAGCGCGCTAAAATCGTAGAAAACTAAATTTCGGAACGATGAATATGTGAAAAATAATCATTTCACCGGAGAATAAGTTTCTGAAATATCTACCGACGTTTCTGGAAAATAATGGCGAAATGAAAACTAATTTCAAGAAAACTATAATGGATGAAATTGTTTTTAATACGGAATAATTCTAATGTTGCGTATTATAAATTCACATTATGCGTAAATGGCGTTTTATTCTAATATCCGTTAACACTATTTTCAATAGTAAGCAGATACGAATAATGTGTGGCCCAGTTTTCGAGTTAATCTACTGGCGTACAGTGATAAAAACGCGGAAATAACGGAGACGCCCTTATTCGACACTGCGTGTGAGAAACGAAAATTCCAGTGGCTGGAGCACACCGTGTGACAAAGTAAAAAAAGCAAAAAAAAGAATAGCGACCGAACGGAAGCCAGAAAGAAGTCCGAGAAAAAGGTCGAAAAAAAGGTAGACGGCAGGATTACAAAAAAATGTGTAGGAAGGTTTTAAAATGACAGAATCGGAGGATAAAATGTATAGGCTCACGACCGTGATCATTGGAGCACAGTAACAGTAGTAGCTGAATCCCTTATAGAGTTCCGAGGTCATGATACGATGATGATCAAAATAATATTATTCGATGGTAATACCGCTGTCATCATTGAAGGCGCAAGGTTTTTGAGACCGAACTTTTATGTCCTGAAAAAGAAGGTTCGACGAGTGAACATTATACCGAATAAACACCGCAAATAACGATAACGACCGTAGCAACAACTACAGCAGCTTGCAATACTAAACAATAATAAAACAAAATTATTATACTGCACTCCGTGTAATAATAATATGTACCAACCTAACGTTGAAGTTAGTGATTAACGTGTAATTTTGCCATAATTTTCGCGTGTTTGCCGAAGTAAAACAAAAGAGCAAAGATATTCATAAGGGATCGATGCGGTTAACCGTACTGTATAGGTAGTTTGCGAGTGCACCTACTGTAGGGTGTGCGTTTGGGAAAGTTTTCGAACACCGGCATAACGCGAAGCACGTACGTATATTATATTATTATGCAATAATATAATTTAATATAACGAACGAACGTTCATCCGAACCGCGACCGCGGTAATAGTATTTACCGTGGACGGATGAATAATTAATTTATCATATCGTAACATTACTGATGATGCAAAAGCTGTTTGGAATCGACGGCGGACGAGTAGAGAGACGAGCGAAATAGGTCTAAATGGCCCGTAATGTCTTCTCAATCTGCGATAATCTCCGCGCTTGATTCGAACAGCATTACATAACAATATCTATTTAGTCTTTTTTTAAATTTCGTTATTTGCACAATTTAATCTCAGATTTCAACCTAAACTCCATAGTTTAAATTCCAAATCATCTAATTTCGTTACTTGTTTTTTTTTTTCCTTTCGTGGTTTCTAGATCTCTAATAAGGACCATTGACATCCAATCATCCACCGTTCTCTGTGCATTGTTTTTTATTTCTTGGTTGTTTGGTAAGTAATTCCAAATCATTCTTTTTCATCGGTTTTATTAGCTTATTGTCTGACTGCTTTAACGAAATTTATCCGTGGTCTTTTCCTTATTTTTATGTAAGTATACGCATTGTAATTCTGAGTTACGCGGTACACAATTCAAAAGCTAGCAATAAAAAAAACCAACACATTCTTCGTTACGCTCTGAATCTAAAAAAGAAAAAACAGTTAAATAACGTAGATCGATGATGGATAACTCGAGAATTCTTTGTTAGGTGTGAGACGGGTACAGCCAAAGGTCCAGAACTCCGGAAAGTAAAAAACCTCTCGCGTTTCGTTCACTCGTCTAGTGTCGTTTCCCCCAGTTAGTAATCCAGCAGTTAACACAAATATATCAAGAAGTGCACGATTGAATAAAACGTAATTACAATAGAATTGAATTGTTCTTTACTTTCACCTAAATTGTATTTAGTGTCTAATCAAAATTGTATATCGAATTCGTGAATTCTGTGCCGAACTAAGCTTTAAAGAACATGCCCCTATTATAGTGTTCTCACTTCTTTGAGCATACTATACATCGATACACTTTAGTTTTTACACATAGCAGATGAGTACTGCGGATATATTATGAAAATTAGATATGGTACACAAGAGTATAACGGTTTTGAAACGCGAGCGTACCTATCTAAACTTCATAGCAGTCGTGTGGATTTTCGGGAGAAGCAAAGTCAAGGATAATTCCCGTTGAATGCATAAAGAAGTGTTCTATCGATACGATAAAAAAAAAAAAATCCTTAAATTGAATAATAATTATTTGCGTTTTGGTGTTGCGATACATAATATGTATATGTTGTTTTTTTTTTAAATTTTAAAGCACACGTCGAATACTGAGAAGAAGACGAAAATATAGCGGGGAAAAAATGTGAAAATAAATAATATTATTATGAAACAATTTTCAAACACGAAAATCAACCGGACCGGTTACGGTAGTCGTAAAAAATGTAAATAATATATTAACAGACAGATAAAAAAAAAAGTGTGGGTCAAATTAAATCAGTGCCGAACAAAAAAATTCTAGTGAATTATATTTTAAAACATGTCTCGTTTTTTATTTTATTTTTTTATTTTTTTTTTTACAAAAGATAATTGTATATTTTATCGCGCTGTACATTTATTGCGGTTTTCTTTTGTAGTACAAAATAAAATAATTTTTTACGAGTTATAATAATCATTATGATCGTGGTGGTTTTTCGAAAAATAAAAATTTAATAAACCACCGAATATAGTGTCCCCCTATAGCCAACCGAGTTGCGTTTGAAAAATATGATACGAACGAACTTAATAATAATAATAATAATGGTATAATAATTATGCTGAGAACGTATTTTGCGCCAGACGATATTATACTATTTGTGTACAAATAATGCGAAACAAAGGACATCACATCGTTACAATTTTTCTCATGTAATTCGTTTTATTGATAAAAGCGTTGAAAAAACAAAACTTGAAAACAAACAGCGACCGCGAACGTGTCGTCGCGTGAAATGAGCGGCGACGGGGATGACGGCGACGTGGTCCTTTGATCACGGACCGGAAATAACCGATCGGCAAACTCCCGAAAATCCGCGGGTTCCAAAAGCAAATTGGAATTTATTTCCTTTTCCGCAAAAACATTAGGACCATATTACATATTATTATACCTATCACGAGCCTTTTTCATGGATATCGTGTGTCCGCGAATAAACCTGTCTAATATTGTACAGAGGGATTTTTTTTGTATATTTTTTTTGTTATAATATTGAAGGAATTGTTGTTTAAGGTTTTCACAATAAAATTATTTTTAAACATTTTGTGCATTTGTTTTCATACCTTAATTGAGTAAATATCAACTTCAAAATTGCATGCATTCAACTCGTTATAATACTACGAAATAATTCTCCATAGAATTCTGCTAGAAAAATTAAGTCTTACAAATGGATAAGTAAAGTGCTATCATCGATCCAATTAAATTCTATGGCGCTATAAGTTCTGAATCCATGTATAAATAACATTACCATGTTGTCAATATGACATGTGATTTTTTAACTCCCCGCACCCACAAAGTGTAAAATCTGCAGCGGGCTGGTAACCGCGATCGCTACCGAAAACTTTCACAAACCCGCGATTGTGTACCACACACGCTCTTTGCCACCATCTCATATTGTTTTAGTTAGGTACAAGGTACCTAATAATATTGTTTTACGAAACGTTTATTATATGTGTGTATGTGTATGTGTATGTGTGTGTAACCGTTTGCGTAAAAGTTTTCGTTCGTACAGTTATATATGAAGTGTGAAAGGGCAACAGTGGCATTTTCCAAGCGCATACACCTCTAACCTCTTCCGCTCAAAAAAAAAAACCTAAACAAACGTCCAAGAACATGTACTGTGATGCGCAACTGAAAAATAACGCGAAATTAAATTTGTTCCATAAGATATACAATAGATAAAACTGCTCTTTTATAAATAAAAGTCGAAAAATCAATGCGGTCGTTCAAAAATAGTCCTGAACTACTAAATATACAAGGGCTCTACGGTTTTCCTGTATTTAAACAGCTGGTGTACAAGAATTGTTCCAAATTTTGAAAATTGTATTTCATAGCAGCACTACTACATACTGCTATATACCCGCTATAACATACGACATATTAATATATAACTACTAGCTGTCCTACACGACTATGCTCGTATACAATATCGAAAAAAAAAATAAATTAAAAACTTCTCTTCTTGTGACTCTCGTGCTCCTATCGCGGAGAACCGTTGTTTTTTTTTTTTTTGGTAATTAATGTATTAAAAAAGGTACTTTCTTGCTCGTGGCAAACAAATTTATTAATAATAACAACTGTTTTTTTCGGCCGTGTTGCCAAAAGATACCCGATAAATCAGGAAAAAAAAAACAACAGGATTTTCGGAACGAAAATCCTGAAAACCCTATGCTAGCCGCCTTTTATTTCGGGGGTTGCGTTTCGGAAATCCGGCTTCGATGTACACACGGGTCTCTTCATCCGCTTTTGTATGCAAATTGTCGTACCTCTGCGTGCGATTTATTCGGCTGTGGATCGCACACAGACAGACAAACAGACAGACACGTCTTACTTTTATTTATATAGATGGAAGTTCGAAGATAATATAATATAATATTATTATACCTACGCGAGATAAACCGATTTGGGTGCACGTGAATATGTTTTCCGGCGGCGCGCTCCTCGTCATATTATTATCTGCACTCCGGTCGGCGCTTTTAATATACTTGTAATACTGTTTTGGAGCACTTAGTTCGCGGGCTTATACCCAAAAGTTAATTTCACTTTAAAGGACCGTTAATCCGCCTCGTGATACGACGGCGAGAGTTTTACGGCGCTGCGAAATACGCGAGATACGCACAAAGCTACCAAAAGCCGAGCGCTGCAGCTAGTGGTGACTTCGCCGCCGCCGCCGCCGCCGCCGTTACATATTAATGAATAACGGGCTATTTATTATTTATACGAATTTATAAGATCATTTTGTACGTTAATTAACGATGGCGAATATTATAAAGACGACGGAACAGTCGGCTCCAAAATCCGCGGCGATGTACATTATGGATCGCGTGCTGCGATTATCATTTGCGCGTAATATTATGGTGTATGGCAACGGAATTTGGAATTTTTAATGGCTTTTTCGATTCCGGTTGTACGGGGGTACGACAAAGGTTAGGTATTACTTTGACTAATACGACGTGTTTTGTTTCTCAAAAGATCACTTTTACGGTTGGTAGAAATGCTCACACTTGGAAAATTAAAACAAAAAACAAAAAAAAAGAACTGATAACAAACGACGATACGACGGCTTTGTTTTTGTTGATTACCGGATTACCTATTGGGAAAAAAGACACGGTTAATACTATAATTTACATTATCGGTGTTTGCCGAGCTCCGTTCACAATCGATTTTCCATTGCGACGGTTTATCGGTTCTTTCGGTACTTATATGAACTTTCCAATCGCCCCGTGCCGTATACCTTCATAATTTCTCACTATGGATGACGCGGCGCCCTACCGATTTCATTTCTACGTTCAAATATGTTTAAATTCGTTTGCAACTTAATGTACCTAAAATAGTTAAAACGAGCGATACAATAAGTATGATAATTGAAATCAATCGGCCGGGATTAAGAATCCTGATATTTCACAGGGGAGGGTGAGCTGAAAAGGCCGCCTTCAGTCAAACACATAGTCACGTTCCCGAATTAAGTTTACTGGTTGTCTTCATTTTCGAGTTCTGAATCGCTTTCCATCGCAGCTACCACTACTGGTCTTTATAAAATTATGCCTACCTTTGTTACACCTATTAAATATTTTCTTACAGCGTCTCTTATTTTAAATTAATGTGTTAGCTTTTTTTTTCTAAGTTCAATTTTTAACTATTGAAGTAAATACCTATTCGCAATTTAAAGTTATTTATATATAAATATATTGTATGGTTTTCGGATAATAACTTATGAGAGAAATAACTACAGGCGTTTTTTTTTTTTTAATGAAACGCTTATTAATATTATCATTATTGTTTTATTTTTTCTACTCATGAACACTATTTTTTGTTCAATATATTGGGTCTTTCGAGTAGTTATACGTCAATTAATACAAAACATCAAACGATTGTATAATTTATTTTACCGGTTATAATGGATTTTTTTTCTATAAAAAAATACAGTCAATTAAAAAAAAAAAAAATCAGTCCGTTGTATTGAATCGTTGTTTTTTTCCCCCAGAACTTTTATATATTATTGATTAACACCGTTTGAAAGTTTTTTTTTCACCGTGATTGATGACAATAGTTTTCGTATATTTTATTTTATTATTTTTTTTTTTTTTTTTTTTTTTTTTTTTTTAGTTTAATAATATTGTAATAAGAAGTTAACTCAATTAAATATTCGAGTAGTGAAAGTCTTGACATTTAAATGAAACTGACAAAGACGTTTGAACTATATACGTAGGTATAGCTAGGTATAGGTATTTGAGAAAACAAGAGAAAACTTTGAATAATGATTTTTAAATTTTTCATTTTGTCGTTTGTTTTTTTTTCTCGTTAATCTGTCAATATTAACTTTGTAAATAAATCTACTGCACACAATGCAATATTTTGTTTTATTTAAAACCATCGGTCAGCGTCAAGTCGCAAATAGTACAGTAGCTATATAAGAGGTATATAGTCAAACTCTAAAGACATCGAACAATAATATAAATAATTAAAAACTTTATCAAATTATTTATGATTATGTTTTTTCGATTACAATAGCCGTTGATAATCAGTGATACCACAAACACGGTTATCATACGATTACAGAACGTAATATAATTATTATGTACTAAATACGAGTAGGTATTAGTAATGCCACCCGAAAATGTATTTGTACTTAGCAAATAATAGTATTATTTGGTAGCTGTTAACTATAATTGGAGGGTGTACTAGAAGCAAATAATCCTGTTGCGGGTCAACAATTATATTATTTTATAACAATCCTATTAGCTGAATTAAAAATCCTATTATATAGGTTACGTCGCTGACAATAAATTATATGAATTTTAAGTTAGAATTTAAAATTTCTATTAAAAAAAAAAAAAAAATCATTTCTATTTATAGTTAAACATTTCTGGATTTTTAATAACTACGCGTCCTACTCTCAGCTTTACCGATATTTTTGAATATTATGTAAAAACGTATTACCAAAGTTACAAAATATTTTATAAAAAAAAAAATTGAAAAATGATATACTCACAAACAACAGCCGAGTTTAAGATTAAAATATTAATATAACATTCAGATTCAGACTTTTTTATCATTATTAACAAGAATAACGTAATAAACATACAAAATACTTTACCAATATATTTTAATAAATATATAAATAGATAATCGACCAAATATAGATAACGGGTAGGTTACCCGGCCATCCTAAACTTAACTATAGTCAACTGCATGTAAAGCATACATTAACATCTAGTATGTAAAACATATCTTGTTAAACATATTTATATAAAACCTATCTTTTAAATAATAATAATAATAATAATAAAAAATGTACGGATTGGGAAATTTTTAGTTAGTAAGAATCCTGATGTATCTGATATTCAAGAAGTTAATGCAGTATATAGATTTGATGTAAATTAATAGAAGTCTGAAATAATTATTTTCAATAGAATGTTTATCAGTTTGAAAAATGAAGTTTATTTTGAAAATAAATTATCAATGCATAAAAAAAGTTGAAGTTAGAAGAGGTTTCCCTATATTAGTAGATGTATTTAAATTATTTTTGATTACACCAATGAACAGTGCAGTATGTGAAAGGAGTTTATCGTGCCCATGAAGACTAAAAAGTTACTTAAGAACAACAATGCGTCATACAAAACTAAGTAACTTAGGTTTATTGTATGTACGTACACAAAAATAAAGACGTAAATAAAAATGCAGTTATCGACGAATTTTGTGCTGATAACAATCGCCGAATAAATTTAAAATAATAATAATTTTTGAGTACTCCCTGTATATTTGTTTTTAATTAATATAACAGTTAAAATAATAATATAAAGTTCAGTTCAAATTTTAAATATACAAATGCATTTTTATTATACAAAATAATGATTAAACCTATAACAAATAATTTTTGCACTTTCTTAAAATAAACGCATTGTACATTTTTTGTGGATAATTTTTTTTTTTTTGCTACTCCAGAATTTGGACTCGAGTGACGCTCATGAATAAAATACAATCTATCTCAATAGTCAATATTATCGAATACCCAGAATTCTAGCTACTAAAAATAAACATAATTTTGTATTATTATTATTAAACATACTCAATGAGTAGCGTTTTACATTTTAACTGGGATATACCTGATGATGAATTTTTAATTCGAAACCGGTCGTATAATACACTTATTGTAATACTCTAGACGATGCATTCATTAGTTAATTAATTTTGTGTTTCTATATTTATTTACGAGTATAAAACATTTTAATAATTTTGTTTTCACTTTATTATTTTATTATTATTAATTGTAACTAATTCGCTTGCTACATACACTATTTAATTAAAGTAAATAACTGTATTTTACATCATAATATTATATTACGCACAACAATTGATTTCTTTTATGGTAAAATTTCTAAACGTAAACTTTATTGATTTTTTTATAGTGAAATAATATAAAAATAATACGAAAAGTTGCCTTAACTTTTTATCATAAAGTAGTACAACACTGGAATATGTTAAGCAGAAATTAGAGAATAAATTTACTTTTTATTTCCTTGAAAATTACTATGATGTTATTGGAAAGTTTATCTTAACACGTATTAACATTATTTATCTAAGTACCTACTAGTTATCTAAATTATACGAGTATATTATATATATATATATTTAAAAATATTAGATTCCTATTTCTTAGATTATGAACGTAGCAGTTATTTCTTTTTGAAAGACATCTGCTTAGCTATCACCCTAGTTATTTTAGAATTTATATCCAAAATACTTTTCCCGTTACTCATAATTATTTTACTTCTGTATGTAAAACTATTCAAATGTTACAATTGTTGATATTGATGGTTATACTCGTGTCTGATTGTCGTCTACTACAAACTAGGGTCTTTGCCTTGGCTTTGTTAATTTGCATGTCGTCTTGTTATAGTGGCTTGTCAAAGTTAAGTAGCATTCTCTCTAAATGTTCTATCCTATCTGTTATTGTTGCAATGTCGTCCGCGAAACGTGGCGTTCGCACTAATATGCTGTTCACCTTTATTCCCCTCTCTATATTTTCATATCTCGGATATTGTAATGCTTCTTTAATGTATAAACTAAATAACGTACATGATAAATTTTACCCTTGTGCTTCGCCTTTTTGTGTTTCGGCCACCTTTTATTTCTCATTTTTCCTTTAATTATAACTCTTTTATTAACAGCAATAGCACGTGTATTTTGTCTTTGAAGTTTAAGCCGATTTTCTCCATTATATATGTAAGAGCTTATCTTATCTCACGTTTAAGTCTACATCGGAGAAAAATAATAGTGCCGCGGAGTAGGTATACATCCGGTAAAACGATAGTCTCAACCGATAAATATAATACCGCGTTCCCGCGAGTTTTGTAGCGTAGTACTATGACACCGTAGAATATACCGCGGTATATGCAGACGATTATAACGTAAAATAGTATGTACCTACCTATACCCTGTTTCAAAAGAGAACACACCATTTTCGCGACCAGTTTTCGTTCAGTGGTGCGCATCCCCACTAGGTAGTACTGGTCACGAAAATAGGCATCATAGAAACACCATTTCTTAACATGTCTATGGCCGTGGCCGGTGCTACCTGATGGAAATGCGCACAGCCGAATGAAAACTGGTCGCGGAAGCGGTATGTTCTCTTTTGAAACAGGAAAAAATATAATGTTATAATAATCATTATTATTATACGAGACAGCCGTTCGGGGAGGCGGAAAAATGTAAATGCTCATAATATTATATATTGTATTTTAACAGTAGTAGTGCTTACCGAGGGGAAACGGTGCGATCGTCAACGGGAAAAGAGATGTGGGTAGGGGTGGGAGCGGACGCGGGGGTTAAAAATCCCTTAAGCGCATCAACCTCTCCCGCGAGTTCTTATCATTTCGCGTATCTGGCCGCGGTAAAATGGATTCACATTCATCCCGCAGCAGCCGGCTACTATTTTCTCTTTCCGAGATCCGTTAATCTCCGGGTCCGACCTCTATATATATATATATAAATACAATAGTGTATACCGTGTGACGCGTCTCACACCCCGACCCCTCAACCCCGCCAAACGTAAAACCCTCCGTCGTCGTCGTCATCGTCGCGTAATAACCTCCTCTGCCGTACCGACGACGACGTCATTCTTATCTGCCATTTTTAAGACTTAACCGCATTAAGCCACGTGGAATACCGCCGCCATACCTCGGCCATCAACGACGGCCCCGAGAAATGTCCGCGTTTATACTAAGTACATATTATTGTGCTGCAGGTACAGCCCGCACTAGCCCTCCGATGAAAAGCCAACGACGAGACGGAGCAGTGGTAGCATGACATTGTTTTCCTGCGAAACGCGTTCAATACAACCTCAAAAAAACCCCATACAATTCCAAGCCCGTGACGAACTAGGAAGTTTAGACTGTAGACGTTTTTGTGCTTTATTTTTTTCGTTAACATAATATTGTGAGGAATAAATTATCACACATACACCCGCTTATATATCCACGCAGTTTCATCGTGGAGCATCCGCTTCATAAGTTACTCATTCACTCTGCCATTATGGAGAAGAATGCAGTATGCAGTAACAACGGTATGTATTTACTATACTAACGAATTCGACTATCCTTTGCGAGTTCCCCTTTTTCGTTCATAATTCGCCGCCATGGATATGATATTATAAAATAGCCGATTCCGTAACAATTTACGATTGATTCAATAACATTTTTCGTTTTATTATCACTTGTATTAATCACATGATACAATTGCCGTCATAAACAAATATTCCATTGGTTAAACGATAAAATATAGGTGCATGGCTGCCAAGCTTTAGATTTACTTTTTTAGAGATGGCTATTTATCGATATAGCCTCAATAGAGTTATCGGCTAACTCTAGTCGTTTTATCGGAGTCAAAAATGTTTTTTGAAAAAAAAAAAAAATAAACGATAAAGAATCGGGGCGTATGTGGTGAGAACGAACCACGGGGCAAAATAATAAAAGACGTTAAATCCGTATTATTGGCTGCTAGCTGCAGTATACCGCCAGTATTAAGAAACTGTCATTCTCTGAGCTTTATAAATGCGTTCGAAATCCTATATATATATATACGAAAAAGGCTATCGCCTGCACATTATTTTGTATTTATATGTGTATTTTCGTCTCTATTGAATATTATATTATGTTATTACGATCAATCGGGTTCGCATTACCCGCGATACTATAAAATACATATATAAATACATAATCGCACAAACGGTTTAAATCACTTATAAAAATACGGTTTAATATTCGTTTTCGCCTTTTTTTTTTTTTTTTTATCGTAACTTGACCGAGTACTAGTACTCGTATTCGTTTCCGCCACATATTATGATATCGGCATGGCTATACGATATATAAACGAATTATTATTATTACCCAGCCAGAGGTATTTCTTCTTTTGGATCTCTGTTATCGTATAATATCGGTCTGTCGATTTTGTATTTTTGTTTTACATCAGTGGCATGTTCAAGGAGATGTTAGGGGCTGTATCCCCCTCCCGCAGTGTCTTAAAACCACACCGACTATGAGTGTTTACTAAGTAATTTTATTGAAATTTTATACTCCATAATCAAATTACGAGGAAAAATCTCGATTTACTCATTACGAAATGGCTTTTAAATTATCTTTGTTGGGTTATGTATAATAAAAGAAGATTGTACGATTTATTCGTGAATCGTGAATGTTATTTACTACATCCCCTCCCATTGAAAATACCTGGGCATACCATTGTTTTATATTATTCGCCGATGAGCGGATCAATATTGATCAAATATTTCAGACGTACAGACTTTCCGTTTTTCTCGAAACGTTGTAGATGAAGCTTTAACGGTGTCCCCGTCAATTACTGTATTATAATCGAAGCAATTTCTATTGTATAATATTATGTTCACTGTAGATAATAGGTCAGTGTTTAAGATGAGAACTTTGAAAGGATATAGGGTAACAAGGTGATAAAGCAACGAAAAATTATCGCGATCACAAACCTATTCTGACGATTGATGGGAATCCGATAAACTTGTAAGGGTGTAGCTATTATTTTTGTTAATAGAGATGATAAGTTATAGAAATTGTATATATTTGTCTTAATCTTCTATTTATAGCCGATTGAACGAAAACTCTATTATATTAACTAGTGAGTTTATATTTGGTGTTTTTCTCTTGCATATTTCGCTAATATTTTCCGGAATCGTATAATAATGTTTTGCCAAACAAATGCATTTTTACCAAAAAAATTATGAAAAATATATCCCGTGAAACAATAGTTGAATACAAAACATGTAGTATTATTAGATAATCATCGAATAATACCTAAACAGAAATATAATACGGGTGAATCATATCTGATGGTTTGTTTGACGTCGAAAATATTGAAAAAGCTTTGATATATTTTATGAAAAAAAATTGATAAATAATTGTGAGTGTTACACTGTTACATAGTTATTTACAAATATGTATAATTTTTGTTTTTATTTTTTTGGTTTTATGAAAGTTTTTTCATCAATGCCGTTTTTATTTTTATTCAAATGATTTAAAATAATATTGATAAAAATAAAATGTAATATTTTTTTAAATTTATGTTTTGTGCTTCTTATCTCTAATTATTGATCATGGTTTTTTCGTCTTATTTTTTTAATGAAACCGATTTCACCGGTAAAACCGGTGAAATCTTCGGTAAAACTAATGTAGCGTTTTCACTACACTCATAATTCAGAAAAAAATTAAATAAAAATTATAGTTTATAAACGGAGTAGTGTCGTCATCGAAAATTGATTACGAAATAATAATACAATTATACTCAGTGTTCGTTAACCACGTGTCCTTTGAATTAGAGTTACGTTATAAATGTACAAAGCGCGCCGTTAGTTTATAATTACTTGCAAACAAAAAGTCCATTAACTTCACGAGTCGTATTTGATGTTTTTTCATTTTTCATTTTTAATAAACAGCATATAATATTATTCGGTTATAATCATTCGTCTGCGTACAACAATCGAAATCGAATACATGTTGATTAAGTGCGCACTAGTGCCGAGAACCAAACCCGGATTATGAATATCAATCCGCCATGAAATTACGAATCCGGATTATGAAGATCTAAAAAAAAGTGATTTATTTTTAAATGTCGCTCTTATTATTATGTATTATATGTCTACAATTGAAATTAGAAGTACACGAATTGATAACGGTGTGCTGTGTCGCCGTATCACCGCTGCATATCGCAACAACACGTCATGTAGCCGGTGTTAATTAATTCATTGATTGGCGGATTAGATCCGACAATCCGGATAAGATCTGCGAATTCAAATTGAACGGACTGAATCCGAATCCGGATTATGTTTTTGTAATCTGGATTCCAGATAGGTCAAAGTAATGTGCAGAACTAATGCGTACGGTGTAGATATACCTAATACAATAATAATAATTTAACGTGCACCCAAGTCGTACGTTATTCTAATATTATTTGTAGAATTGCGTTTCTCCGTTCGTTTTTTTAATGGGCGTGTACCGGTTACTCTCAAAAATATCTTTTTTTTGTTTTTTTTTTTATACCGCGATTCCTTCCAAACTACCTTGAGTAAACTGTACCAGTCGCCCTCAAAATATTATAATATACATGACCGCAATACAACACATGGCATATAATAGCAGAAGAGGTACAAATATAATATGAAAGCTTAGTTGAAATCAGATCTTAAACAAAACAAACGTCTACTTCGCTGGAGGGTACCCAGTAATGATAGACCGAAAATTAACACTGAATTCACGGAAATGGTGGGAAAGTTTAACTTATATCTACCGGCTATCGTAAATTATAAGTCTCTCTACGTAACGACAATTTTGGCACTATGGAAATTTCGTTTTTTCCCGGTTAGCTACGCGACGTGGTTTCGCTAACTAATCGGTATTAATTTAGTTCACATTCAAATCGATGAGCGAAGTTAGCCGCACTTTAAATAATACAGGGTTTAAAACAATTTCCCTCATTGTATTTGGTGTTACTGTACAATATTATACGTTACGTGCAACTGGTAAATTTGGCCGATGGCGATTGATACGTTTGATTGTGGGCAGCTAGTACATTTTTTAAATGCCGAAAATAGTCACTGAAGGCGACTGGTCTACGTCCGTTTTAATAACGCGTGTCGGTAAATAGCTTTTTGAGAAGAACGTATTTTTAATCTCGCGGCAAAATCGCGCGTATAATATATTTAAAACAACCACACGGGGGTTTTATTTTCCTTTTTACACCCCAACGGTTTATGTACTTTGAGAATAATATGTTTCTACGTTTTGATCGCGCGAAAACTCGAATTTATATTATTTAGTTTCCGACGATGCCAATAATATTTTTAGATTAAAAAGCCGATGTACGCATATACAGAGTGATTTTATAAGCACGGTCATACCGTTTTTATGGTAAAATTCAAAATCTGATTTTTGAAATTTGTAATTATAGTGAAAGATACTTAGATTTTTCACAACATTTAAGGAGTATCTTGTGGCGATACCGACTTTGGTTTTTGAAATGAGAACCACCATGCTTCAATGGCGATTGTCGATCGGACGATTTTTCTGAAAATGTTAACGTATTACAATCGAAATTTTAACGAAAAGTTTCTTAGTAATTCTGCTTCAAATATTCAAGATAATAGCTTTTTATGAGGATTGGATACAGACTATTTCAAAGGCGTCGTGTATAGGCAATTTCTTATTTGGTTTCGTGCAGTTATTAAATAACCGGTTTGATACCGTTATAATTTTGTATTTAAAGTAGAATAACTCGGAAACTTTTTTGTTCAAATTTCGATTTTAATACTTTAAAATTTTCAGAAAAATCATTTGATTGACGATTTGCATTAAGCCATAATGTAGGTTTACATTTGGAAAACTCAAAAGTTGTGAAATGTCTAAGTATTCGAAAATGCCGTCAATTCCTATTCCTAAAAATTCCTAAAATCAAAATATAAATGTATATACAATTCAATTAAAATAAAAAAAATAAAAAAAAAATGTCTGATTATGTAGCGGTTAGTGTAATTTGAGGGGAAAATCAACCAATGTAAGCACTTCGACTTATGAAAAAAAAAAAAAAATTGATTATTCTACGAATTCAAATGGTCTAGTGGTATAAATGAAATCGTTTTGTATAGTCCAATCGTCGTATCCGTTGACGGTATTACGAGATTATTTTTTTGCATACATTTTTTTTTTTTTTAAGAGATTTTTTAAATAAATTTCAACACCCTTCCTCGTCTTCCGTTCCTACAATAACAGTCTTGGTACGCCACTGGACTGTAGCGTCAAACTACTACTGTTTGAGCAAATTTTAAAATCGCTGTGTATGAAGCCGTGATAGGTGTATACTTTACAGTTGAATGCGAACGCGTACGTTGAGTAAAATATAATATACGTAAACGAGTACCCTGAATAGGTTGAAGTGTCACTTTGTCATATAGAGGTTAAAAATAATATTTCGGTTTTTTTTCCGTTTCGCGCCTTTAAAAACGTTAAAAATATGAAATATTGATAGGCGAAAAATTGTTAATACCATCAGATAATGTTATCGTACCTGATAACTTGAAATTGGACATAAACTGTCATTTATTTTTTTTTTCAAATAATCTGGATAACTACTTTGTCCGAATGTATGAAAAAAAACCGTTTAAAAACATTGATATATTTATATTAACCGCTTTTAAGGGGTCGAGACGGATAAAAAAATAAATGCAATTTTATTTTTAACCTCTATAACTAAGGGACACTCAAATACGAGTGTTCAGCACGACGACGCGGCTTTTCAGCGCAGAATTTATTAATTTAATCGCGCGGAGCGAAATAATGTAAACCCATTATCATCGCGTACCTATCATCGTATAAAATTAGCAGATCTCCGTGTGTGGAACACTATAGAGTGTTTGTATATAGATAGAGATCGTTATTCGTCCTTGATGGAAAAAAAAATACGTTATAGCAGGTATCTGAAGTTGTTTTTTTTTCTTCTAAGAGCTTTAAACGAGCTCTACAGACTAAATCGGAAAATGCGCAACATATTTTTTTTTTTTATTTTTTCCGTTTTATTGTCTACTCGAATAATAATAATTGTTCGTATGCAAATATAATGTTATAAAATATTCGAATAAACCGCCCGGACATAAGTACGTATATATCGAGCTTTGATATATAATAAAGATTAAAAAAAAAAAGAAAAAAAAAAAATGTTCGCATTATAAATTATTACATACTTATAATATATAGGGTTTACTGGACTGTTTGCCATTTTTACACGAAACAACAATGTAAAAATATCAACTAGTCCTGTTACACCCTGTATACGCGAAAGTAATATTTAGTACCTATTCCGGGGAGTGCCGTTTATTTTTTCGAATAATACTCGTAATACGAAACCAAACGTTTATCAATAACAGTACAGCTAGGTATGCGTAAGTACGATAAAAACGAGCACTTAATGTTGTACGTCATGTATAATAATTTATAATATAACGTTTACGCCGTGATTTACATTTGTCGATTTGAGTTGTTTTTTTTTTTTATGGCGGATCCGGGAAGATATATACGATTTGAAATGATACGGGGGTTAGTTTTTTTTTTTTTTTTCATTTTTTCCATTCGGGAAACGATATCAATTTTACGGTATAATAAAAATGACCCGAAAGTTTTACGTGACCTTGTGTCTATTCTATATTGTAATCTATTGAATATAAAATCTAAACGGTACTATGTACAATAAAATAATATACATTGGTATCGTATTCGTAATAGATTGGTATTTTAGATTCAGAGCGGAGCGAGGAATGTATTGGTTTTACTATGGTGTTTATTTTATTTTTTTCGTTTTTATACTATGTACAAAAATCCTACCAGAAATCTTGCACCGGACTATTAAGTATAGCACATTTTCTGAAAGAAAATTTTCCCAGGGTGATTGTTCTCAATAAATGTTAAAAACGCGGAAAAAACATAGGAAAAATGGAAGAATTTACGAAAACAATACTTAAATATTTTCAATTTTTTTTTTTAGATTCGAAGCCGAGCGAGGAATAGAAAGTCAATTTTTGATTTTCCCAGCTGTTTTCCCAACTAATAACGGGAAAATATACGAATGTATAGTCAAATATTACGGTCTTTTTTTTTTCCTGTGAAATATTTTTCTACCAGTAATTTTGCACAGATTTTCAATGATAGCACATTTTCAGAAAACAAATCCTACTGGGGAGGTACTTTGAGCAGGTTATTTTTTGATCACGATCAAATAGGCGTATTATAGGTATGGATTACTCACGGGAAGGGATCGAGAAGTCTCGACTATAAATTATTTTTAATATTAGTGAATCGGTAGTTGATTAGAAAAAAAAAATGATTTTAGAAGTGTTTCTAATTCGTTAAAAATAAAAAGATTTTATAACCTCAACTCCTAACCTCACTTTAACTACGTTTCTATTACAAAAAAAAAAAAAAAAAAAAAAAAACAGTTTATGACGTTATAAATGTACAATATTTTTCACAAAGATTACAAATTTTATTGTGACATTAAATACATTTTTTTTTTTTTTTTTTTAACTATAGTGATTAGATTTATTCGATGAATACGACCGTATCTAATTTTCCAAAACTGTTTACGGGACCGAAACATTTTTAACTCGAAAAAAAGAGCTGACATTTTTTTTTCGAGATCATATCACGTCAAGAAAATACTAACACAGTGTTGTGTATAATATACGTATTATATACACTCGTGTGGCCGACTCTAAATGGTGGGGATGAAGGCGAAGGAGAAGCAGAATATAATACGCATACGCACTCGTATATATAAATATTTTTTACTGAATTACAATAAAATATACATTTCTCGCTTTACTCTCAGCTTCGCTAATAAACTATAAAGTACGATGAACGTAATTTTTTTTTTTTTTTATTATTTAATACGAATTAAATGTTTACAGTAATAATGCTTGATGCGAGGGGGGAAAAAAAAGAGTTGCAGTAGAGTAGAAAATATTTATAAAAACTCAAATTGAATAGGCGTTTACGAATTGTATGTATTTGCGATTTAACTATATAATATAGGTGAATATTTTATTTTTTTCACATCATCCGATGCTGAAAATATTATACGTTGTGCGAGACCCACTTACATAAGCGAGCGTTTCTTGTTTTATAATACGGAATTAGCGCACTCGACGCGTAGGTACTTAAAAATCCGCATACCGTTGGAATTCACAACGATAATACTGCTATAATATCCATGTACAATACTTAGTTGCATACGCTTTTTAATATTTCTATGTTTTTCAATTTTATTTTATAACGATAAATGGGAGCGGGCCGACCCGGGTTCTCGGTTCTTCGGTTCCGTCGATTCATTAGGGACCGACAGAATCGATGACATTAACGGTTCTAGCATTGGTATTTACCGATATCCTGGTTTGTTCCTTATTTTTTTTAAATATTAGTTTTTATGGACCGAATATGTTCGTCCTTGGGTTTTTTGCTATTTGACTGCAACTGCATGAAGGAAAAAAAAACTCACGCAGCCGCTGGCTTTGAAATCCAACTGTTTACGTATGTATATTATTATTATTTGAAATTTACTCGTTAAAATTTTTTGGAATCATGCGCATTATTTTTCTCGCGTTAAGAATTTAATCCCTGTTAATGGTGCAGATGCATATAGAGCGAATATTAAATTTTTATCACGGACCTCTGACGATTAACTACGTATAAGGTTTTAAGTATATTTAATTTTTTTTTTTTTTAATCGCAATACGCATAACGCTAAACTGCAATATCGTATGCACCGTTTATGAGTAGTAATTGAATTGTGTGTCTAGGCCGGAAGTTATAGGGAGGGCGGCTAATAAATTTCATGGAATCCGTGTTTAATTGACCCTACCCTATTCGTCCGGTTTATATTTCAAATTGTTATTGCTCGTAAACGACTTATCGGTAAAACGATTTTATCTACTATCAATTTTATATCGACGTTTTTAAATTTCGAACGATACCAGGAATGTGTGTATCTTATTACGATGCGTGTACTTGTGTGTGTGTGTGTGTGTGTGTGTGTGTGTGTGTGTGTTTTTGTTTGTGTGTGTGTGTGTTTCTTTTCTAGTGTCTTGAAACAACTGTTTATTACTCCGATCAAAAACTTTCTCGTGGAATTGGCGTTTTAGGGTACAATTTTTTGATGTTGTTTTCTCAATAATTGGGAAAAGCTGTCAATACGTGTTATTTTCTGGATTACATTGACAACAAAGGAAACATACGACCAATTTAATCTGCTAAAAATCGTTTTTCGTTAGCAGCGGTTCGTCGTTGCGTACAGGTATAAATTAAACTACCTATTCTGCGCATATTCCCTTACAATTCTCATTTTTCAACGGTGACACAAATATTAGGGATATTAGCTTTTTCTTATATATATATATATATATTTAATATATAATTTATACTTTAGGAATCCGAATCGAAAAACGTGGGTCGCTATATAAAAATCGAAAGAAGTTAATAATAATAAATTAATGTCTGTACCGTTAGAACACGCTAGTAACGGAAATCGCAAAAAGCAAATTTAGAGAAAAAAAAAAATAAACGGGACATACGTAATTACTTTCCTGACGCCGATTAAGGACTAATAATGTTATTTTTCTTGTTTTACTTATCTTATTTCGGAACTTACGTTACTATATATACGTCTTATAGTATTAATGAATTTATATTGTACGTTGGACTTTGGTTTTAATACGTTTTAATACCTCTGAAAAGAGTAAGTAATAATATATAGATACTGCAGTTTATCATGGAACTAACTTAATATTTTTTTTTTTTTTTTTTTTAAAAAACGTACTTGCATCGCACAATATCGTAATACTTCTGCAGTAATCCTCCGGGGCAAAAAATGTTTACGGTCCGCTCCCCGATGCGGGCGGAATGTTGAAAGCGTTGTCAATATATTATCGCAGTCGCTAAACGAATCCGTAACGACTATGAAAAACGAATTCGCTAAAAATCCCGGTTGATAATCGCCGGCCTCGCGATAAAATAATGTACGATAGTTTTATAAAAATATTATAGTCGCCACTCGCCCCATATGTCGCGGCCGCTTGTTTGATTTACAGTTAAAATCGCCTGCATATATACGTATATACAGTTTGACAGACGTTATTTGCAATAAATTTTAAAACAATGCTAAACGATTGTACGCGTGTGCGCACGCATGTGTGTGTATACGTATTACTTTACGCGATTTACGAGAAAATTAAAAAAAAAAAAAAATAATAAAAAACAAGAGAAACGCGAGACCGCGGGAGACGCGAGATTCAAATGAGCGTACACATAATGTTATTATTATTAGTTTTTTTTNGCTAAACGATTGTACGCGTGTGCGCACGCATGTGTGTGTATACGTATTACTTTACGCGATTTACGAGAAAATTAAAAAAAAAAAAAAAAACTCCATTTGATTGATAAACGTATTGCCTGTATTTATTTTAACGCAGGCGCGCGAGTACCGTACAAATTATATACGCGGATAATATCTCATCGTGTCCATCTCGCGATATTATTTGGAATTGTCGTTTCGAATGGATTGCAATATTTTTATCGTCAGACGGATATCGAACATTATTCAAAACGCACGGTTCGTTATAACAATATCCGCAATATAATATATAGCGCGGGAAATAAGCTGACGTTTTTGAGTAATTTTAAAGTCAACCGAAAACGTATTAGGTATACGGAAAATTCGAAAAAAAAAATAATAAAAAACAAGAGAAACGCGAGACCGCGGGAGACGCGAGATTCAAATGAGCGTACACATAATGTTATTATTATTAGTTTTTTTTTTGCCGGGGAAAAAAATCGACTGATCCGTCTAGCGAAAACGTAATATATTTATGTATTTCTAAGATATTTACGTGTTCGAGTTTGCGGTACGGAATAAATCGGGGTTTCTTTTTTTTGTTTTTTTTATCACCATGACTTAATTTTCTTTTTAATAAATAAATAATCTTATGTATAAAAGGCCGCCTGTCTATCTATAACGATTTTTTTGACGTGTAAGCCGTGTCGTTTCGTTGAAAATCGGAGTTTGAACGTAAACAAGCAAATTTAATGAGGACAAACATTTTTGATGAATGTGCGTAGCTTTTTTCTAAAAAAAAAAAACGTCAAAAAGAAAATTACGGATACGTTGGTTTTGGCAGCATTCGAATAGCCGTAACTTTTTTTTTCTGACAATTGTTTAGTGAAAACCTATGCAGAATGATGACTCCTCGATAAGGTACTCGTCGAAGACAACATTAACTTTTTTCTGCATTTTTTTTTTTGAAATTTACGTGTTTTGTAAGCAGCTCCAAATATTGTTACATTCCCGTTATTTTTTGTTACTCTAAATTCCCGGTTTTAGGGTAGTCCTTTAACCCGAATTAACCGATTCCCAGCGGATTAATCCTAAAAGATAGGAGTGACAAAAAATAACGGAAAAGAACTATTTTAGAGCTGCTTATTTCATAAATTTAAAAAAAAAAAATGTTAATATTTTATGAGATAGCGAGTGTCTTGTTGACGACACTCTGTATAATATTTATGGTCAGAATTTTAGTTGCTATTACTATATTATACTACGCTATATTATTATAGTTATATTTGGCATCACGATTCTTTGGATTTTGTTGAGTTTTTTTTCATCTGCACATTAATACTTTATACATTTCGCATTACGGAACTTTTGGCCGAGAGAAAAAAATTACTGCGCGTTTCGGGTGATGGTAAAATCGAAATCCATACATTAACTGTATAAATCAGTATTTCCCAACCTGGGGGTGCACCCTCCTTGAGGACGGTGAACATGTTGCTGAGGAGGCGCATGCAGTCATAACGAAGTAAAATCATTTTATATTTACACTATAAATACAGAATGATTTCTTTATCACAAACTAGCGACTATCCATCACGAATATTTCGAGTGAATTTGATTTCGATCGGGGGAAAATTTCCAAAATTATCGGACGACTTTTTTTTTTATTTTAATAAACGTTTTGAAATCAAATTTAAACGAAAATCGCGATAATAATTACGGCACTTCAAATTAAATATTACCGAACTGCGCTCGGAATCGTCTTTCCTCAAATAATGGTTTATCGTTACTTACAGATATACATTTAATTCTCTTCTATATCCTACCTTCGAAACTTCACACCTACAACAGGGGCTCCACCCACGTGCGGAGTGTGTCCGTCTTTTCATATCTGGTTTAAATTTTAAACTGTTTTACAGTTTATTGCTTACAAACGGTGTATTATTTATACTGTTGACAATTATTCTCGTTTTAAATCTGTTTAATAAACGTAATGGGTTGTTATAAGAAAATAAAATTCATATAAAATGACTACTTAATTTGTTTTATTTGTCTAATTATTTTTAAATCTATTGACTTTTGAGTAATAAGTTTATTTTGCTTCCATTCGTTTTATTATTAATGTATGGAACGTGAATTGCAGCGCTGCAGTTCATTCTCGCATTCATTTATAATGTTAATATTATGTAAAACTAAATACATCTGTTTATTACGGTTTTCTAAACTTTGACTATTAAGCGTGAATAAAATATATTGTGTTAACAGTATGAGCGAGAATAAAAGTAAAATTAATGCATCTAAAAGCAAAAGAAAAAGAATCAAAGAAAAGGAAATATAATTAACCACGTGTTACCGCCATATTATTTCATAACGGTTTGCGTAGCGACAATTTTCGCACGCAATTCATTTAATTTAGTGTAGTACAAATTAAAAACATAGATGATGTCATAGTTTAGTAAAACCGTAAGAAATGAAGAGTTACCGTGGTAAACAGAAAAAATAAAAAAACTTAAAAACTTCGATAAAAAAACGGTAAAAACTTCCGAACTCACATTCGTCGGTACGCTACAAGGGTGAAATTATTATGAAAATTCCGTGTAACGATGTAATGACTAGGTATCGAAAATTTAATTTACTAAATTGTTAAAATATATTAAAATCGTTTTAACGGGTTTTTGGCACGGTATCTCACGTATTTATAAAATACCAGGTGGGTGCACTCATTACCTCGGAAAGTATTTTTATTATTATTATTTTTTTTTTTTTTCGGAATTTGTTTTCTAGAATACATTATAAGAAACAAGCAGCTCTTATTTTATATTTATATTATTTTTTGGGGTAAAAACACTTTTTACCTTTGATTTTCAAATGTTAATTATATATAAATATGCATAAAAATATTTATGGAGTATTAAAATAAATTTTAGGGTTGACATTTTTGATTTCTGTCTAGCCGTTGACGAGATATTCCACTCATGAGTTTCGGTTGGTGCATTATGAACACGCCACGCGCCGTACCGCCACACAAATGACACTCCACTCGATTTTCAATATAGGTTGACGTTTGAAAATCAAAAGTAGGCGACGGTTTTTTTTCCCCGCGAAAATACCATAAGCGTAGAGCCGTAGAGCGGCTTGTTTCTCGTAATTGTTCTTGAAAACAAGTGGCGGAAAAATGTAATACTTTTCGAGATAACGAGTGTACCCACCCGAACGGATACGATGCGCAACCAGATGGGCATTTCATGCGTTTCCCCGAGACCTAATCATCCCCGACCCGGGTATGCTTCACGTGTGTCCGCTTTCGTCGGGTCGAACGGACGGAAACCGGTAACGACATTAAACATTATAATAATAATAATAATAATAATACGAGCTATACGGTCGTAGTGTTCCCGCAGGAGAAGATCGAAAATTACGGGGATCCAATAGCGGCGGCGGCACGCACGTTCGTACATAGTGTAATAATCGAATTTGTATAGCATTATGTAAGCAGTGCTATGCGCGATCGCGTTACACCCGCGAGGCTATTCCCGAGATTTACGATCCGAACTAAAAAACCGTAATAATCGGATATTTCACCGCGTTTTTAATTCCGACGACATTCCGTTGTTTTAGAAGGCGTAATGTGGTGTAAGTTTTCGTTTTTAACCAAGGTCGATCCGGCCGTTTTTTTTATGCGACGATTTTGAGAAAGAATTTATTTCGGGTTTTTTCGGTCGTCGAACAAATAGGATCGGTCGGTGATAATATTGTTTACCGGTGGCGGTTATCAGGGCGGGCGTTTGGGATGACCGTCCCCCTCCTCCTCTGGACCGTTTTTTTTTTTGTCAACTGTTAGGTACGTTAGTGACGATAAACCATTGCTAACGAAAAAACGAACGGAGTTCAGTTGATTGTGGTGCTTTGTCAACAATATATGATATGTTATATTATGGTAAAATAATTAAAAGACCGTGAAAGGAAAACAAACATTTTTAACTAAAGAAAACAGAATTCTAAACTAAACTTGTTCACGACTTTTCGTTAGCGAGTTATAGTCGTTTAAAGTTAGCGCGTGACGTCACAGAATCTAATCACGCCGTGGCTCCAGAACGGCTCCAGTCCATTTGTATCTTCAGTTCTAAAATGTTTAGGACATATTCTGGTACCACCATGAAGGTTCAAAATTCTTTCTTTTAATAAAGAATAACCCATTTTTTAAGTGTACCAGGATGTTTATCTTTTCTTGGGAAAGAGAAAAATTGTACATTTTTGCCAGAATATGACGAGCAACCATAAACACAACACAGAGTCATATTTTTAATTTTCGTTTAATTTTACTACATATTGTTACACTTTTATAATTTTTTATAAAACATATAACAAATTTATACAACAATAAAATAAAAACGAAAACGAAAACCTTTTTGAAAAACGAAACTACTTTATCAAACACGTCGCGACGACTTTTCATATCATAGTCGATCACTGATTTATAAAATAATAAATAATCTGAATGACTGAATTATCATGATTGTGTATAATATCGAAAAATAATATTTATAACATTGGTACGGTAGTGGGAGCTGGGAATATTAACGATTGCAATAATGGAGTATAGACCTGGGATGGCCAACGACGAGAGACTCGCGAGCCGCCCAATATAATAATAAATATGGAAGCGACAAAATGGAAAAAAAGGTCGCATTAATATAATATTAATAATAAATAAGATAAGATATCAAATATAATAAAATATATAATAATGTCAGATTAAATTTTATCCTAATTTTGTCTTTATAAATATTATCATAAATACACATGGATACGATGCGAGCCGTATAAGTCTACGACGCAGTTTGACCACCCCTGGTATGGACTGTTGAACAGTATCATATTGTGACTGTGCAACTATAATTACTGTTATTGTTATAGTGCAATATTTAATATCATAAGATATATTATTATAACATTAAATCAAATAGAAAATTACGAACTTTAAAAGTATTTCCAAGACCCAACCCGATATATTAAATATCACGCTCATAATATAATGGGTAAATAAAATCGAAGACGTAATATTTACATCCACAAACGCTACGTGAACAGATTCTATGACGTCACACGTCAACTTCAAATGCCTACATACCGCCAAAGAAAAGTCGTAAACATTTTTAGTTTGGACCATTATTTTTTTTTTTTACATGGATTATCAGGTGTTTTAAATATGAAAACAATTAAAATTTATTTCTTTCACGGTCCTTTAAATATGCATTTTATATTTTCATTAATGATATTTATCTAATATTGTACCGATTTTCTTATGAATTTTCCCGGTGTTTCACATTTGCTAGGAAAACTCCGGAGAAAATCGAAAATGAGCTGCCTAAAGTACCTCCTTAACAAGATTTCCTTTCGGAATGGTTGTTTCATCGTATACATCGGAGCAAGGTCCCCGGTAGAAAAGTTGTCCACAGATAAAACAGTTATAAAACCATAAGTTACTTTGCTCCACTCAGATTCTAAAATGAAAGTTATATATATAATTTATGATAGGACTATAAACAAATTGTATCCTTTATTTTATAGATGTCATTATGGTATAGGGCCCAACAAATTTTAAATCGCCCCCACCCCTTGATGTGTTACCAAACCAGCCATTGTTGTTTACGATAATATTACCACAACGTTCTAGTATTATTCGGTTCAGCGTGGACTTTTGATTTTCAAAAATCAACTCTTCCGGCATCCCTCAGTTTCTAATCAGATTCGAAAAGAAAATATTTTCCCAATATTTCGGTAATATCGTATTTACTGTTTGTGAGTTAAAACAGATAAAAAATGTAGACCGAAAATGTAGGCAACTAGAGGCAAGGATTGTCGTCTATAAAAAAAAAGCTGATACTACTAATGGGTGTGCCAGTGGTGCAATCAGAATTTATCAAAGGGGAAGAGGAAGGTCCATACATAATGAATTATGTCGTCATACAACGAAATATACATTTTTAAGTCGTATGTTATACCTGATGAATAATGCAATTTTCATAACTGTTGATGACTCGAATGTATATAATAGTTACACTTAATACACATTAAATTAATACAAAGTGTCTATTTGGATAGAATATTAAAAATATTCACAGTGAAAATTGCATCCATTTGTTTTTTCCAATGATTATACACCATTAAGACCCGAAAGGCAACAAAAAAAAGGGTCTTCATTTTTTTGATCGGAATAAAATTTCTCGTAGAAAACGTACTCGCAGACAGACGAATTAAAAAATGCATATCATATTGAAACCAATATATTCCTCGTTCCGTCCAGAATCTAAAATTAACACAAAATGTATTACCCCCCCCCCCTTGGTCCTTCGATCTAAATTATTACACATAAACGATGGAGCTGATATAATAAGTATTTAAACGTTTTACGTTGAAAATAGTGATGAAATAAAGCTAAATAATATTTTCATAACGATAAAAAAAAAATATGGAAAATCGGAAATAAAATTCACTTCAAAAACTCCGAAAAATCGCTGGATCATAAGAGAAAAATCACTCTGTACACTATAATGCATTTCTGTCCAATAGATTTATTCATAATAATATAACACTCCACTTTAAAGACATTATACGCGTACTGGAAAAAATCACGAATCAGTAAAAATGAATAACAACCGCGGACGCTGATACTTTAAAGCGATTAATATTTTTTTCCATTTTCCCAATACGAGTAAAAAATCCACTGTGCACATTTACTACTTTTAGCACTTAGTTTTATGACGCTAGGTAATGAATCTAAATTATCTTTTTTTTTTTTTTTTTTTTTATCTAATACCCGTGGGTATTTTTCCACCTTAAAGTTGGTCTATACCACTGTAACCTATCGGGTGTTCCTTAAGAGGACGCGATACCCGCATGTGCCATCTCCGTTTTACAAACGTACGACGATGCGAAATTGCATTTAGCGGGGATATCTTTGTGCTGTGTTGACTTTGATATTATAGAGCGAATTGACTTATCGTCAAACGTCAAACTAAACGATAACGATATTTACCTTTGCAACATCGGCGCTATTTTTTCTCTCGGTATTTTAATTTTTAAAGAGAGAGAAAAATGAGTATGCGAACTATTATAATATTTAACACCGAGACTAGAACCACCTTAAAAAAAATGTGAATATCGAAATCTGTATCAGGTCTTTGAGTTCGGTAACAGGCCAATTCATAATCCCGACAGCAAAACGTTGTCCCTGGTGAACGCGAATTTGACATGTCGTGGGAGGTACACGAGGCATGGCGTTTAATAGTAGTGAGCGCTTTATTGTCTTGTTTTTTTGCATGGTGGTCATGGCTGTGAACCACTTCGTAAAAATATTTTCTGCTCTACACATAGTGGCTGGCGGTTGGTACCGCCTGAATTGGTCAGTTAACAAACCAAACTATTGGTTTATAAATAGTTATATTTACCAAACTATTTACGTAATGCGTCATTGTATATTTATATACAATACCCATTGTTTTCGATAAGGACTGACAAGTATTGAACAATTATTTTTTGCTTTTTACCAAAAATTACTCTAAATTTTTTATGATAAATAACGTATATGGTATTGTATGGTAATTATTTAATTTCATGTTACGCTAATGGTGCTGTTTTGTGTTCTAGTATTAGTTGTTGGTATTAACGTGTTTTAAATATGAATTTACATATTCATATAGTTGGTTATTGATCTGTACTAAAACAAGTTGTTATTCGCAAAAAAAATTCCAGTAAAAAATATTTTCAGTTTAGTTAATATATTAGAAATCATTTTTTTTTTCTTTTTCTACCTAATAAAGGTACGAGTCGTTCGAAAAAAGAAGTTGTTGATTTGTTATACGCATGGCGGTCAGTGCAACCTGACCACCGTTTGGACTTAAACGACTTTATACGCAAATACAATTTTAGTAATGTTGTGGTACCGAAATCATTTACTAACACGCAGAGCTGTATGTGTATATTTGGCGAAAGTCAAAAGTTTTTTTCTCGAAAATATTCCCTGCGCATTAATCGCGGGGTGTATATTTAGTTTCGGCCTGTGCCGCGAAGCGCTTAGGACGGCGACGACACGTGAGGGTCTCGTCGCGCTCACTTAACGCACCCGTGTTCTGATCAGTCCCTTTGTCCCCGAAAAACGTTTCCGGGGGCCGCCCGTGTCCGCCGTCCGTAATTCGTTATTTTCGTTATTGGACGCGACGCGGCAGCCGAAATACGAACTCGACATTATTATCCCGCATACACACCGATTATCGTGTATTGTATCCAATACGCGGACGCATCGTTTTTTTTACTTTACGCCAATAAAATAAACCGTAATAATATTATCGATTTCGTTTCATCTATACGGTATAAATATATAATGTATAATATTAGGTATTCAATGCGTATCGGCATTATTACACTTATATACATTTTTATGGCGACACGACCTACTTGAAGGAGATTCTGCAGGTTACGCTACCGCAGCCGCCGTTCCGAGGGGATCGTCAGCATTTCACACACACACACACGCACGCACGCACACACCCCCAAGCCCACACACAGTGCGCGCGTCGAACAAAACTATAATGCATATACAACTCGTTCAAGTGTGTACTCAGAATACCTATATATATATATAAATGTAAAAGCGTCGTTTATACAATATGATATTTACACTAATTTTATGCGCATAATAAATCGATTGGCGTTTTTTTTTTTTAAATTCCATAAAAATAACGTTCGGTTTTATTATTTTTCTCTAAGTGGAATTATGTCAATCGTATACAATACAATGTGGATAATATTATGTTTTTCTCGCAAACCAGCGGACATCTAAACACAATAGATTTTGACTTTTATAACGAACGTTATAGAATTAGTTGAAAAATAGAAAAAGCTGAAATAGTAAATTTGTCTACAATAGTCGATTAAGGTGTTGTTTTTTTTTTTTTTACTGGTACGCTATTGAACCATGACGAATAGTAAATTTTTGTACACACCATTTAGGACGATTGGAAAAACAAAAAAACTTGTACACGATTTACCCCTATTCAGAATCTCCGATTATATAGACAACCGCTGGTCCATGGTAAACAAATCACCCGCAATATTTCAAATTTCATTAATATTGCAATACTATATTATTATGTGTAATTTTTCGTGGTATATAGGTTTGGTTAGGTTATTTAACCTAACCTACTAGTAGGAAGGTACGCGATATAACGCGTGATAAACTTTTGTCGTAATTATATCCGGACAAATCCTGGCAATAATAATATCTAATTGGATGGCTCTCGTTTCTTGACTTTATTTTTCCCTATTATAATTATTATTAAACTTCCTTATATTTTTTAATATTGTATTACCGGGGTATTTTTTTTTTTTCAGAAGAATATTCTGTGTTCGGTTCGACCCGGTTAATCTTTTAAAATCAAAAGTTCATGCGCCGTGATTGTGATGTAGGGAAAAACAATGTGATTTTGAAAACGGTGTAAATCGCGATCGTTAAACGATTGTGTATAATGCAAATACAATAAATGAAAAACAAAGTATCCATAAGTAACCCTATATAGAGTTGAAAATATTGGGTTATGTGTACAGTATAACAACGATTTTGTATAATGCAAATACAATAATTGAAAAACAAAATATCCATAAGTAACCCTGTATAGGGATGAAAATATAGGGTTATGTGTACAGTATAACAACGATTTCGTATAATTCAAATACAATAATTGAAAAACAAAATATCCATAAGTAACCCTGTATAGGGATGAAAATATAGGGTTACATGTACAGTATACGCCCCATATAGGGGTTATTCGTTTGAGGAATGTACGCGAATGAAACGATATTATGCAATTAACAATACTATAATATAATAGACGGTCTGTTTTCAATTGTTTCGACTAGATATAGTGCAAATACACTATAAAATTTAACGTTTTCGTGTAAATAACACTTTATATTATATGCGTCGAATATAGTACGGAAATTCAACTAAAGTAGCGCCCACGTCGAGATAACAACACTATAATAATATGAGTAATGGCCCACGTAATAATAACGATAGTATAATACAATAAAACGTAACGGTAAAAAAAAAAAAACCGTGAATAAACTACCACCCCGGTTAAATACAAGCGATAATAATCAAAACCGAAATCTCTTTCGTACAAAAATAATACGATAAACGTGGAATAAAATCTAGATAAATTTAATGTTCCGAAGAGTAAAAAATTGTGGATATTATTGTTTTGCAGTTATTAGAAAAATGGCCAGGGAATTGAACAGCGGTCTGCAGCAACAATATGTTATCGCCAAAAATGAAAAATCCGCTACGTCCATGCCACGGCATTACTGCTCCCTTGAAGGCTTGGAAGTCATAGCCGTGCAGTAGCTATAGATTGGTAAAATGGGGTGGCAGCCAAGGCGCTGCAAAGTTAGCAGGCCCACTTGAATTGGTTAAATAATTAAAATGCGTACAAATTATAATTGATTCAATTTGCAATAGGCAATCATCAGCATATAGCTAATTGTTCTCATCAATCATTAAAATTTGTATTCAAATCGAAAGTATAATGTATTAAAATTATTAAGTAAAATATGGTGACTTGATGATGTTTATTGATTAGTGTTTACTGTTTATACAATATTTATGATAAGCAATTGATGAGTTTGACAAGGAATTTAAAAAAAAATTCAATTTTGTTTAAACATGTGTATACTTACCGCTATTTCGGAATAATTTAAAGCTATGAAATAGCTTAGATATTCCTATATCCCTATAGTTAATGGTTTGACCTTAATTTTAGTTGTATACATTTTATCCGCGGGTCTAACTGAAATTCTTAAATGAAATAGAATTTAATAATACTAAATAACGAAATCGGAATTCACAGTATGTAGTGAATGCAGGCTTGTAGGTTTTATATTCGCCTGTGATATCTTGGTATTTTATTTTTAACTCAGCAGCATTTTTTTTTTAAATTCTGCACCTTAATTATTTTTAACGGATTTTTGGCCGACTGTTGCTTGAAATTTTCGGATAAAATTATAAATATTTCCTGAAATTTCGTCTTATATTCATATTTATGGTACTTATAGCATACAACAACTCTTATTTAAAAATGTTTTTTTCATTTTCTAATTTTGCGTAATCAATAGATTCTTTGCTTTTTATCCACCGTTCAGGTCCTTAATCGCCACCACTATTTCTCTCCATCTATCTTTATTTGTAGCTAGTTTATCTATCTTTGTCTTGGACGGTCGAGCGGTCTTTTGGTCTTCCGGACTCTACCTGGTAACTTGGCCGATTGTCTGTCTCTGACCTCACCATACATGCCTTGCCCAGCTTAACCTTTTATTTTTCATCGTAGCTATTATGTCTGAAACTTCTAACAAAATTATTACCTCTTTGTTATTTCTTTGCTCGTAATCTACAACGTTTTTGTTTCTTCTGGGGCCAAACATTTGCTGTAACATCTTTCTCTCAAATCCCGCTAGGTTCTACTCGTTTGTTTTTTTATTTTTTTTTTTAAGGGACAGAGTTTTACACGCATATAGCGTTATCGGAAGTGTCATTTCTTTATATGAAGTTAATTTAGATCCGATTGATACTAGTTTAGATTTTAATATTATCTAGAATAAAATGTTATTCATATTTAATTAAATATTTAAGACTGTTCTGCCAAAAGCAGTAGGATTGGTACCAGAGACTTCTGTGACTTCTCCTGAGCACATCATCACATGTTTTTGTAAATTATCTATAACCTTCTATGTTTTGATTTCATAAACATTTTTTTTTTTTTTTCATATTTTTCGATTTTTTAATAAATCTAAAAGAATAGTTTTTTTGGTAGGAAATTTGGTTATTGAGGATATTTCCTTCCGTTTTGTTGATAGATGAGTGCAACGTTCACATTATTTATACTTAAAAATTGTAACCGAAAAACTGCAGCTGTGATCTGTGAATGTTGGTTTCAAGAATGTAGAGGAAACGATGAGGATTAAAAACAAATTCCTGGCAGGATTGTCAGGAAATTTTTGGGATGGTAAATGACAATAAAAACTTTTTAAAATTTGATCATAATAATAATCATTATTTGTACCATTAGGAAATCATCAAAATTTGAAAGAAAAATCTTCTGTAATTCCCCAAAAGGAATGCCAAGTTTGCCAAAAACGAAAAACATTTTTTATACATTTTTGTAAAAATATTACCCAGGTTTAAGAAAGTCCAAGGTTATCATCACCCGAAGACCATAAGACTCTAAGCGTCTTTAGGTGTTTCCACAGTATGTATCATTGTATCATCTATGTAATTTACCAAGAACTTGTATTTTTTTTAATTCTATTGCCTTTAATGTATTTTCATCGATGGCCTTTAGTGGAAATTTTTCCTCTGTTTTATGTATTGTTTTTATTTTTATAAACCATATTGAATAGGTAATAACTTTTAGTAATTGTTTTCCATTATTATTTTTGAGGGCTTCATTGAAAAGTTTTGCTTTGGGTCCTCTAAATATCTTAATTTGGACTCGGTAATAATACTAATAACTTTACTAATGGAAATAGTTTAAATTAAATTTTTCACAGTAACAGTTAATATGAGTATCAGTATAACATTATTCAAAGAAAAAAAATACTATCATCTGCTTATAATTTTTAATTTCGTTCGTAATGATCTATCGTTGAGTACAGTGAACAACTCTATTTTCCCTGTATATTCTACTAAACTACAACAGTGACCTACTCGTGAGCAGTATAACGTTTATAAAATTTTGTGTTATAATTCGGGGAACATATATCGATAATAGTGATAATAATAGTGACCCTTTCCATATACGTATGAAGCAGGTAGAGGTGCTTAGAATTCTTTGTATATTTTTAATCTGTAAAAACTGCAATTAGAGACAATAATATTATGCTAGGTACCTACCTACGTGAAACTTTTGAGCTACTTTTGTTGTATCAGCTGTTCATTGGAGTTTTAATAAGTATATTGCACTCTAAATTCAAAATGTATACTGTACAGCTGTAGCTATAATTAAGAAAATTAAAGTTTCGAAATATTTACAATAGTATCTACCTACAGATGAAAAACAAAAACATATTTTTTACGACGTGTTGTTTGCAGTTTAATGTTATAATATGCAGCGCGAGCGGAATTTTCAAGAAAATTACATACTGTTTAGAGTTACGGTGAAAACTGTCCTGAACTGAACCGAATAAAGACCAAAGATAATTTTCCGTTTACGATTCCAAAATACGATTTTGATTTCTTTTTTTCTTTTCTAAAGCTAAGCTGAAACTATCGCTAATTTTAGAAAGACGATATATGTCCATAAAACGATAAAATTAAATTCTTCAGTAGGCGAAATACTGGCACATGTCCTGAACTGTGGCTCATTATATTTCTGCACCGAACGCTAACATTGGCTGCTAATTTTTCCATTACGGTTATATAGACCCGTTCTTACACAACGTAATATGTAACGTAGAACAATAAAAATCGCGTGATAACTAAGTTTCGTCAAAAGGTGGACTTTTTTTGCAATTAATGGTTCATACATATTTTCAAATGTTTAAAAGTTAAGTTATAAATTACATTCGTTCTTTGATAACTCTTAACCTAACTTAGATATTTTTTCGAAATTTGAACTATTTCGAAAACGTCATTTACGAATTTTTCGTATACAGATAGTGTGATACCTACCTGTATTTTTTGCATTTATATTTTGACAAAAATGACCTACGCATTATAATACGTTAATATCATATACGACGGGCATGCGGCTTATGGAGTATCCACACGATTCTTGTATAGTGGATCCATACAAGACTTATAAATAGTAATGTAAGATTACAAAGTACGTTTAAGAGTGTTAATAATTATGAGTAGTTTGATGAAAAAAAAAATTTTAACAATTGATTTAGGTTTATTATGTTCTTAAACATTATTTGTAACTTTACTCATCTACTGAAATTGCTATATTTTAAAATTAACATATTTTTTTTTTTTTTAGGTATGACACTCTACTTGAAGTATAATAATAAAAAAAAAAGTGATTAACTGCCCGGCTTTGGTTTTCTCAGCTATTGCAGCCATTTACGAAATTAGTATTTAACAGAATTATTATTATTTTGTTTTCAAAAATGATTTCGTAAGTATATCTACTTAATAAGCCAAAGCTATAGAACGCAACTATATATTGATTTCGCACGAGGTTTTGTTTGTCGCTCGTGTAGTTGTGTTTTGCGAATACCGTCGCGCATAAATATATATATATATATACATACTTTTTCGGGGTAAAACGACGAACCCTCTACAAAGGTTTCCACAAAGCCCCCCAATAAAGATTGTGAGTTATGGAAATACTAGCGAAGTAGATTTTACCTACCCGTGCACGGTAAAATTCGGTACGTTCTGAACGATAAAATATGTATTTCGATTTTTTTCTTCTTTTCCCCCGAAGTTTTCGATTTATTTAGGATTTTAGTAGGTGCGCATTAAAATTCTAAGAATTCCGTCCACGATGATTGGGCGCGTCTGCGTTTATATTATATTTTGTTTCATTTCAGAAAAGGTTTCGAAATAATCGACTAAAAAATACATTTGTTACACGTACGATAAGTTCGTATTGTAAGTACCAAAAAAAAAGCCTATGCAAGCGTTATTATTAATCTTGATAATTCGCGCGTAAATTTTTGTACGATTATATAATCGAGGTTTTTTTTTCAATTAAACGATCGAAAAAAAATTATTTTATTTACGATAGTTATTAAAGAGTAACGGGCGTGAAAAAAAAAATTACAATTTAATTAACTGTATCAACGTGTTTTTAATGACCGAAATTATTTAAATATTATTATTCTTTTTTCTTTTTTTCATTTTTGAAATTATTACAATATTACGAACGACTGCTGATTTTCTCGGCGAGTTTTCGCGAAATTTACAACATTTTGTAAATAGATTAAATTTGTATTTGTATATTATAATATTTATAATTAGATTTTTTTTTCTCTTGAATACGTTATCAATACAACTCGCAGTGCTCGGCTAGAGTGGAATATATTTATCTAATAACAAACGAATTAACAACTACTGCACAATAACAAAATATTCCCATAGAAATTATTTAATCGCCGAAAACCATTTATAATTTATTTGAATAAATTACCATCACATTAAAATAATGTGGCGGAGGTTTAATGGTGCGTTTCTCTCGGGAAATATTATTACACAGTGGCCAGTGTTATGATTTCATCTATACAGATAAGCCAATCTAGACTAATAATCTAGATAGTCGTAATTGTATCTCGTATCTTACCTAGATAAATGAAAAATAAATTATCTGAGATAAATAATCGAATCGTCCAGATAATTGTTCGTCAAGATTAGTCTTTTAAACCCGTCATTTATTTATGTACATATTAACAATAATTAATAAATATCAATATGATCAAATAAACGATCGAGTTGCATCGACCACACGACCTTTTTGGTATCGAAACGTGAACCAAATCAGGTATACTTTTACTTAGTACATTTTGCGATAGAGTCGTGAATAAAATTGTCTTTCTTTTGTCTAGATAAAACGTTGTCGATGATTATCCGTATAGATAATGCGATTTTATGTACGTATCTATTACATTCGTCTAGACAATATTGTTCTAACAATTATCACTTTACTAGACGTTTTAATATTCGGCTGCATACGACAACACTGACAGTTGCGCGAGCGGTGAAAGTCGGAAGTTACAACCCCTTCCCGGCCCACCAAAAATTAATTTCGCATACGCAGAGTACGTCGTGCATTTCGGCGATTTATTAGTTTATCATCCCGATAGCTAGCCCAGAAATTCATTTGAAATTAACAACTCAGCCGCCCCCCCCCCCATCCGCCGGAGATCGCAAATAAAGTCTCGCTGCGCCAGTGATTATAATATGTAACTCGGAATAGTTATTCGTTGAAAAAAAAATAAAAAAAAATATATATATATATTTTTTGATAATAACGCGAAATAAAATAATATTAGGAAGGCGCGTATTGCAATAATAATTGAAGTAGGTGCGGTAGCGTATACGAACATGTTATCCCACACGTCTGGTCTAGCAGCTGATATTCTCACACTCGAGCCGGTCTTCTTGTACAACGACCTTACCGTACAACGCCCTCTCCACGCGCTGCGGACCGGAGAGCCCTTAACCTTCGCCAAAAGCGAGAAACCGTCAACGTCTGAAAGTAATAATGGGAAAAGTGAAGGTGTCTGGGCGTCGACTATGATATTGTGGCCAATAGTTTCATAGTGTTCGCGGTGTGGAAATTTTACACTAGACATTTACCACTATGCAATATGCTGTACGCGATGTTCAAGTGTGTAATATCTGATATGTAATTTGTCGTCATAATACTAATGGTCTCGAAACGTAAATAAACATAAAAACAACACGGAATCGGTGTAAAAAACTATAAACAAATATTAAATGCGCGTTGGAAAAAAATGAAAAAGAAAACACAAAACACTTTTTATTCCGTGTTTGTGTGTGTTACGTATCTTATGGCGGATTTGAATTAAACGGGAAACGTGTTAAATTTAAATGTCGAAGTCCCCTTGGCTTTTTGGCCCGAGTGGCGAAAAAAAAAAACCCCCGAATATCGAAAAACGATTCGTACCATTTGTTCGTACCTACGAGTGTAATACCATCGTTCTTCTTCTTCTCGTGCTACCCGAAACCCGATAACAAACCACCGGAACAAATCTCCGTCTTTTGTTTTACATCGCGTTGCACCGAACAAAAATCAAAACGTTTCAGTCCGCTATCGAATATTATTTGTAGCCATTTGTGTAGTACACGTTTTCGTCCAGGATTACGGCTCACGATCTTACCTTTCATTACGATCTGTAATTGGCCGTATGTCAAACCTCCAGCGAAACTGTCCAGCGAACTCTATAGTCTCTTCGGTTTTTATAAATGTATATTTTGCAATGCACGTTATGTTTTCGTGGGGTTATGCATGCCGGTCGTGCCCGAATCATCTCCTGGTCCACGGTATTTTCCATGCTTCCCCGAAAACACTGCATTTCACCCGCTTATTCGTTTCTTCTTTGAGAGCACAAGTTCCACAACTATAAAACATTAGCGGTGGTCAACTTATTCATGATGATTTCGGCGAAGGATATACAAACAAAAGTCGTGCGAGCGCTTTTTCGAGATTTTGACGTTTTTTTTAAATCCCAAAAGCTATCACTTCAACCTAATTGAAATTACCGATTAAATAATTAACAATACGTATACAAGTTGTTATAAAACATATTACACAACAATCAAACCTGGAGCGGACCGGGATACAGTGGTGGATCCAGGAAGAGTCAACAGTACAGTAATGTGATACGTTTTTTCTTGTTATGTGGTAAAATATACATAAAAATGTTCAATGTTTTATTATTGCAAACGGTTTTGATTCCATCAAAATTTAGATTCGCTACTGTTTGGCCCACTGTACTACTATGCAAATGCGCAGTGGGCCTAGCCTGAGTGGAGTCTTGTATAATATTATTGTTGACATTTTTTTATAGACGGACGAAAAATCACTTTTTTAACACAATTATATTATTGGCTTAATTGTGTGACGCTGTTCATGTGGGTCTTAGACAAGTTGACAAAAATTGTTTCGACAATTTCGGATGACAAATCGGACAAAATACAGTTTGAACGCGTCATTTAATTAGGAAATGAAATATGTAAAATTAATTTGGTCAACGCCTATTCATTTTTTACGCTAAAGGCCTTGTATTTTACAATATTGGGGGCTCTTCGGGTCCGGGTCCGCTTTTGAATTAAAGGTATATGCAAATGTAAAACATTAAATACCTATTTCAGAACACTGAAACACAATAAATCGAACAACGCAGACCACTACAATATAGTAACAAATCCTAACAATTCAGAATCTATCGGAATTCTAAACATTTGGAATTCTCGATTTTATACTCTACCAGCTATTGAAATTATATCCTTTTTTTGGGTCCGAATATTTCATTCGGCGAAGGTCGATCTCATATATTTTCTACGATTTTTTAACCACGACAATTTAGCTGCATACGACTTGGGTCCCGAACCCTAGCGGTTTTGATGGGTAGTACACTAATTAGGATCCAACGAATTTCGGGCACTGTACTAGTTGGGTCCGAACGTTCAAAAGGAATACAAAACATTGTTCTTCTTATTATTACAGACTTAGGACTCGGGTTCCAATTCGCCAGTAATGGTATCTGCCGTTTTATCCTTGACGTATTTATCTTTTCAAGAATTACAATCACTTCTTTTCTTTTTGAACTTTTAATTTTAATGTCAGTATCTATGCGGGTAATTTTTAAAACTTCTATGAACTGATACATACTAAGACTGATATATTGTGTCTTATTTTTCTAAACTTCTAAATCATTACAATCGTTATAATAACACTAGACGACTAGACCCGCATAAACCCGGTACCCAACTAGTAGTCTACCCGCATAAACCCGGGACCCAACTAGTGTGGATCGAGACCCAAATCAAATGCCCCGGATAATATCGTATACCTTTTTAAACTTTTTTTGTTTTCACGTTTTTTTTTTTTTTGTTTGCTAACAAAAAATCGTTTTGCGAAAAGTAATTTTCGAAATAATAACGCGATTATACGGTAGGGTTTTTTGTTTTCAAAAATACTACGATTTCAATATTGTGCAGCTCCTATTATTTTCTGTTCGGCGTTCGCGACTCACCCGACGTGAAAGCGAACAGCAACGCCAACAGGCAAACGAACGCGGCGGCTGATCTGGGGCCGGCCGTCGTAGTCCGAGGCGGCTCCATCGTGGCCGCGGTTCCGGGGACGCGAACACCTGGACCGGCACTTGAACGGCCGAGACCCGAACGCGACCGCGAACACGGTCCGGGTTACGATAGGCGGTTAGGTTGTACGGCGGCGGCACGGACGTGCTGAAAATTTCCGCGGCTAACGGGTGACGGTAACCCGGTTACGACGGCGGTGGCCGCACGGTGGACCGGCGGACTGTCGCGCGCATTCCGGTCGGCCGGTCGTTCCGCGCGGGTTTTCGGCGGACGCGAAGACGATGTTTCAATAACAACGATATCGGTGCGTGGTGGTGCGTGAGCGCGAGCGGCCGTGTGACGCGTTCAGTGCGGTCGCCGACGTGGTACTGACGGCTGTTCGCGCGCTCGGCTCGCGCGTCCCGCCGGCGGATGCCACGCCGCCGCCGTCACCCCGGCGCGGTGGCGCGGACGACGACGTCACGGCATACCACCGACGGGAAAACGTCGTCGCCGCCGCGATCCTGTGCGGCGGCGGCGGACTGTGGAAAAAATACGCGTCGCCGACCGCTCGGACGAGGCCGCCGGTCAGCGGTAATCTTTTTTTTTTTTTTTTTATATATTTTCTTCTAATTCGTTTTTTTTTTTTCACGATTTAAAATTTCCATTTCTCGCGTGCCCCGGCGCGCTGTTCGTCGCGGGCGCGCAAAAGCGAATATTCTATAGGCCGCGGCGATTCGAGCCGTGCCGCCGCGGCCGGCCAAGCTCTCCTCGAGTCAATTTCAGCGCGCGGAAATCTCGCCCTATCGGTTTTCTTTTTTTTTTCTTTTTTTTATTTTACCTTTTTCCTTTATACGCGCGTCGCAACAAAACGCATTTACGTATCGCGTATGCGGAGGGCTTTTGACGTCATACTCGCGGCCGTTCACGTCTCCCCCGCCCCCATACGCTCCGCTGTCCGAATTTCGAAACCGTGTTCCCCGTATCGCGAGCCGATCCCCATTCCGACGGGTCGTTCGAGGCTCTCGGGCGTTTCCGAACGCTCGGCCGGCAATAACGCGGTCGGCGTTAAAAAAACAAAAAAAAAAAAAAAAAAAAAAAAAAAAATCGTTCTCAATACCGAAAACGCGAATTGAAAGGTTTTATATTTTTTACGCGCGCGCGCAGAACGTAAACAGCGCGTTGACAGGTACCGAGAGCGTAAAGATCCGAAATTCGCGGAAATTCGTGGGTGTAACAATAAAAGTAATGTATCGTATTCGATCGTCCGGGAATAGCAAAAAAAAAAAAAAATATAAATAAATAATAAAAATAAACGCTGGACCGGACGCCGGTAAAGTGTGAACGGCGACGAGCGGGGCCGGTCTGCGAAATTCGCCGCGCCGTCATGTCGTGGGGTGGTGGTGGTGGTGGTGGTGGTGGAAGGCTCGAGCGGCTCGCCGGAAACGGAACGTCACGCGAACCGAAGTGACTTCGATATTATTGCGCTCTCCTCGCTCGCGCGCTGGCCCCGCGTGTAGAAAGTCGAGGGGACTTTTACCGCATACGAGTGAAATAAAACCGCTGTGGGCGGACCGTCGGCGGGGCGTGTGCTGCCGGGTGTCTCGCGGAGATGTATCCGTCGCGATATCTCGGAGCGGTTAGCGTTTTCGACATTTTTTTTTTTTTTTTTTTTGTGTCCGTCCGTGAAACAAACACTGCTCCGAAAGTGTTCCACTACCGATAATCGCGGTCGCCCGCAGTTCCGGAGACGAAACGGGCCGTCTACACAGAGCAACACGTTATACCGCGTAGCGTTTTAGACGGCTGCGTAGCCGCTCTAGCCGTTTTTCGCCAAGAACAAACGCAATTTCAATATCGAAAATCTGTATGGGCGGTATTTTCTATTTACATTCGTATCGTTTTATCTGGCTCGCCCGGGAGAATATTTCTGTCTACGCCTGCGGTTTCGGAGCCGCTCGTTTCTTAAACCGTCAACGGATAAATGCGAAAAGAAACGTGTACGGGGGGCGCGTTATGTTCGCAGGCAGCGGCGCGATCGGAATGCATTTTCAGAACGGAGCGGACGGTTACGCATTCGTAAAACGTTGTTGTGTCTGGCCGGCCGAGAGGGTTTTGAATTCGGCTTGCGTGTAAAACGTTCATTTTGTTTAACATCCGTCCGCAGATAACGGATGTCGGAAAACAATTTACGCTCGCGTTGAATAATATTATTCGAATACAGTTTGCTCGTAATTCTAACGGTAATAATAATTTACGGTCAAAGATCAACTTCGACGAGTGGAGTGTAACACGTAACAGAAATATACTGTGCGTAACGACAACAAGTCAACAGTTATATTTCATCACCGTAATGCGGCCGGGCGTTCCGTATTGGGCGGGACGGTGCCGATTTTTTTAACCGTTAAACATTCGAGTCCAGTCGGGACCGTATAAAACGTACCGATTTTCGTTGAACGTCCCGAACTTTTGTCCCGATCGCATAATTTCAAAGCGTTATTTTGTACTGATACAAAGTTTACGAAAACGACCAACGATATTAATACAGCGCACTGTCAGACCTACTGAATTTACTACACGACCGAAATAGTGCGTCGATCCGTCATCGTTTTTCCGGTTTTTCAAACATTTGAACAATTATCTGTTTTAACTGTTCAACATTATGTAGAGAGACGTATACTAATGTTTCCTCGATAAAATTATGTATTTATTTTAAGATCGCAAATCTATTTACGTGCAATTATTGTTGTAGTTTTATTTCGTTCATAACGTTTTCCGGTTCTCGTCGCGGTGTTCTCGCCGTCCCGTTTTCTCACGACCTCGTCACTTGCTTAGCCGAGCTTTATGATCGTCGGCATATTATTTAGACGGTTTTCGGGGCTAATGTAAGCCAGTAAAACGGTTCCTCCTGAGGTTTTTCTCTGACGCTATAAGATGTGTTTATGTCCCGTTTTGACTAATAAATATCCGGTCATATTATATTACTCCGTAGAAACTAGTAAGTTATAACTCGGGCTCGGGGCTTATTGCACTTAAAGTTCACAAAAAAGCATTTCGAAACGTCAAAAAAGCACTTTGAGCGAATATTATTAGACCAAACGACTGAAGGGTTTAAAGTAACCGAATCTAACGACTCTAAATTATATTTAATGAGTAAACCCGTTAGAAAGGGAAAACATTTTAAACATCCTGCCGTTTTTGTTTTTTTAAATATTTTTCAAATGCTTTTTCAGAGTTTTTTTTCGACGTTTTTAAGCGGATTTTTGGGGATTTTAAGTGCAATAAGTTCCAAGCTCCAGACTCACAACCTAAACCGCGCCGTAGCGGTTATCACTAAAGCAACACGTACACGATGTTACACCATTATGTTTAAAATCGGTATATAAATCATACAACTACCTACTACGTGTAGTATTCGCAAAAAACTCTCAAACATATTTCGGGAGGTCACAAACCCAATCCTCCTCCTCCTCTAGTTACGCCACTGTTTGTCGGTCATTTTGTACAAAATATAATGGTATAGAGTAATTCAATTCATAATACCTGCAGGCGCGTACTGGATTTGTACACAGGGAAATGATTAAACGAGACCCGCATTTAAACAAACGATAAACATTATAAGTAAGTACCTATACGTGAGAAGTCGTGCAATGCTATAAAATAGATAACTCGAGAGAATAAAAGCAGAAATAACCGATAAATCTGTTCTAATCGTAATTTATTTATACTAATCAGAAACAATAATTTTTACTTAATTTACATCATGACCCAATACATTATCTCGATCGTTATCAATAGAGCTCTGAAGTTATAGGAGCTAAAAAAGAAAGACGAAATATGGACGACAAAATTATAAAATATGCATGAAAAAATTTATTCAAAGTTAATTATTCAAAAACATATAATGTCATTATTAATATGCACAAAAAAAGACAACAATTAAATGCGAATCGCACCGTTGTCGTTAAATTACTAATAAACTAAGACGATAAGAAATAACAATAAATAACTACGTTAAATAAAATCTAATTTTTTGGTAAATATCGAATATACGAAGTATGCGAAAATCAACGGAAATCGTTGAAATATGCGCTTTTTCTCAAAATTTAACGAAATATGCATTTTAAATGTTCGATTTTTTAACTCTCCACAGCACAGAGAAAATGTCTAGCTTAGTCTTCTATAGATCCAGTGCGTGCAGAATAATATGCAGCTGCTATAACTTCCGAGCCATAATTATTATCAACATCAGTTTTGCGTGATTTTTTTGGAATCTAGTCGCTGTGAATTCGGTACACTCTGTTACGGTATACTTCGGGCGTTTGGTTTCATGATAGGTAAATTGACGAAATTATCTTTTTGTTTTTTATTTTATCCGGCTAATGAAACGCCGATTGTTTATCACTACCTCGACAGTCGAACGGCCGCGTACTCGTATTGTTTTATTTTTTTTTATCTCTCGTTTTTATCCGGTTATTTTAAAATCGTATTTTTTCAGTAAAACACCGTGACGATAATGCACCGACCGAACCACTTTTTCGTCCGACATTTGACCCGTGAAATGGACGACCACGAACGAAATGTCTGGCACACGATTTGTTCGCGGTTTGTCGGAATCCAAAATGATTTCCCGGCGTACGTGTTGTCGACGACACGATAATAACCGAAGACGACGACGTTAAAATACGTCATCGCGGCGAAGAGATTGTAATTATTAATATTTTATTTTTAATCGGGTGCGGTGCCACTCGCTGGGCGGCACGTCGTCGTCGCCGGCGAAACTTTAGGACAATCCCATACTTCTGCTTGTTCTTTCTTTGTCGTTAAAGAACTTCCGAGTGAAAAAAAAAAATAAAAGCAATAAGAATATATAAGCAGCCCTCTCAACTTTATTAAAATCTCTCTTCTCTAACGTATTATTATAATAGAAAATAACGGTAAATTCGCGAGGAAATTGAAATTTTTTTTTTTTCTCGATTTACGCTTACCAATATAGGCCGCACAACAGCTGGCTTCCGGCGTCCAGTCCTTTTCTCGCCCCGTGCCTTTTCGTCGCCGTGCCCCGCGATAGTTTAGCGTACGAAAACAAATCAAACACCGAAGCGAGAACGCGTAACTCGAACGGGGAAAAAATAATATACGAATCGAGTCCCGGGTATAAACGAGAAATATACTAACCGAGTCCGCGGTTGGGAAACCAGAAGTACACTAATCCAGTCCGGGTAATATATAAAACCAACCATAATATACGAATATGGAGACGAATACTGCGCGATATCGTTCGTACCATCGTCGTAATGGCTTTCGTCCGATAATATAATCTCAGTTCGTATGCCAGCCAATATTTGAGCACAATTTGAACGTGTACAATGTTTATC